GGTGCCAGATTGGAGGCCTGGCCCAGGCATAGAGGAATCTCAAGACACTACATACTGCCATAACTGCGGATCAAATGTATCGTCATGTGGTTCACTTTATGCCTACATGTCATCTGCTGCTCGAGGTTGCCAGTGTGCAGAGCTACATGGGCGGTTTGAGGAGATAACATTCCAAGCCAATGGAGAGCAGACCGATTTGCAGGACTCCGGAGGCAGCTCTGATGATGGAGGTGGCCAAACACAACATGTCAAAGATCAGGAAGCCGTACACAGTAATGGGTTTGTACAAATGGGTAGAAGAGGTCCTCGTGACCAGTTTTGTTTTAGTTCATTCCAGGAACAGTCTTGCTCACCTCGGCACTATGAGTATGACACTAGCCTCCAAGCAAAAGGGTTCGACATGAAGCATGAAGTAAAGATGGCCAAATACAAAGCACGGAAAATGGCACATCTAAGGAGAGCTATTCATCCATCTCTGGACTTTGACAACTTGAATGGAGAAAGGAGGATGAAGTCTTCACTGAACAAGTTACAGTCTTTTCATATTGGTAAGAATCACAATTTCCGCATACCGACCTGCGAGCGAAGCCCAGGCGCTAGAGACGCTGAGGAGGACCCTGACATTTTTAATCTAGCGTACCATAGCCGGCACCCCGATCCAGGAGCCCAAAGGGCCCGGCATTGTGAGGTTGATGCACAGAGCAGTCCAGATCTCATGTTTACAGCTAGGAGTTACTACACAGGAGCTCAGCTGCCAACAAATCTCCCAAGAACAAAATCTGTAACCCTAAATGCTGTTGATGCCTGAAATGCTTTCTTGCCGTGTAAATTCCATAGAGTATAGAGTGTACATTGCTTTGGTTCTTTTTGTATGCAATAATATGAAGTATAGCTATGTAGGCAAGAAACTGAAATGCATCTGGGTCATCTGTGGATATGCCAGAGCTGTGTGTAACTTCCTAGCTTGAGAATTTAGAGGGTTGCCTTTTGTCTTGGAAAGAAAAGATTACATTTTTTGGATGATAAAAGAGGGTCTCTTGTTAGGATGATCAGGTGCAATCTGCTACACATTTGCTTCCCTGATGCGGCCTAGTTTACTCACCATGGCATCTGCCAAAGAGATATATTCCTGTACACCATGATCCAACAAGCCAAAGCAGGATTGAATTTTCATATCTTTAGAGATTGCTATGTTCTTACTGTTAGTTAATTAGGCATAAAGCAGGACTGCAAAAAGCATTGTGCCTAAGCTGTGAATCACATGACCCAAATCAGGAGCTGGAACTCTGTCCTGAAGAGCCTGCTGGCACATGACACCTATGAAGTGGACATCCATGATCCATCTCTACTAGTGGCAGTAGAATAATTGGAGGTTGTATCGAAGGTACAGACATGCCAGCAACTGTATTTGCCAACTACTAATTCAATTGATCCCGCACTATTATTGTCGATTGATCCTCCCATCATACCACTTGATCCTACTCGGTTGGCATTTGGCAGCCTCACACTGCATACAAACATGAGATGTTGTTTCTGTCTCCTACTTTCTTGTTGCTAACTGTAGTGTTTTTTGAGGTAAAGAAAAAAAAAGCAGAAATGACACACAAAAAATGATTTGATCGTCACAGGAACGGCCACCTTTATAGAAAATTTAAGAAACCTCTTTTGCCGGCAACAATTTGTGTGTGTTGTGTAGAGCAAAGGATGGTCACCACATGCTACCTGATACTAATATTCTCACTTGCTACTGCCAGCTCGTCTTGCTGGAGCAGGACAAAGGGGTCCATCTCCATCCATGGATAACTTGTGGAGAAGATTTGGTCATCATATATCTGATTATTTGGGGTTCTAAGGTGATATTTCTTTTCTCCCTTTATGTGTCATTTCATGATACTTTTGGCATGGCATATGGTATTCTGTAGAAATGAACAAAGACACATGCAAAAAAACTGTGGTCTAAACTACTACTAGAAAGTGGTGATGATACCTTATCAAATCAAATGATCCACAACAATTGTTTATCCATAATTCTATAAGTGGGCTCCATTATTTAGGATAGACAGTTTTTGTGGTCACTGAAAGTTGGCATTAAAATGAGTGTCTGAAGATGAGTCAAAAGTGACAGACAGTTAAGGAACACGCACAATCCTGATAAAGTGACTTAACAAGTTAACCTAACAACTTTGCAAAGGTAGGAGTGTTTTATATTCAGGCTGCAAAAGGAGATTCAGATAAGCATCAAAGGCAGGAGGGTGAGGTGGTGAGGTGAGGGTGGTAGGAGATGAAATGCAGAGTAGCCTTTTAATTTTGCCATTGAATAATTCATCTTCTGGATCATGGTCCTGTACTCCTGTCCCAAAGTTCATTGAATTGGAGGAGAAACAAGGGGGGCACCCTCTATCAGTCTATTGCCTGCCCTCATGGATGCATGCCATATTGCTGACCTGCCTAATTCTGAAGACTTGATAGTACTGCTTGTATTAAAACAGTACACGTTTCTCTGTAGTGTACCTGTCCATCAGATAATGCCACAAGACAAATATCACACAAGATTGGCCGTGGTTCAGTACTGAAAATACTAGTATTTGACAGCCTGAGAAATTCCAAGTTCTGTAAAATTCATAGTTCCAAAGGAGTCACAAGGGTAGAAGTGTAGGAAAATTGTCAATCTTTGGTTTGAGAGGATATTTATGATAATTGATCTAATTTCTATGGAAGTTTTGTAAAACTCATACGTTCGAAACTCATATGAAGGTGTAGGGCAAATTGTCAATCTTTGGTTTGAGAAATGCACTTCATTTACGTATAGCATGAGCCTAGTGGGTCAACCTAACTTCTTTTTGCCTTCCAAGAAAATAAAATAGGAAAAAGCTTATTGGTGGCAGAAGCAAGCATAGGAGTAGATCATCAAAAAGCCTATGACCTTATCCAAAATTGCAGATGAGGTAGTTGCTTTTCTAGGAAGTAGTAAAGAACTGGATTACTAGAACGCTTGATAGATGCAAAAGTCTATTGTCTATATACCTAAAATTCGCTGTTCCCAATATCACACAAGTTTTTCCCTTTTTTTCGACAAAATGCAGATTTAGCCACATGACATAGGCATCTAGTATATCTTAATCATGATGCATAAAAAAACAGGTATCTAAGCAGGTTTCGTTCTTCAGGGATACAGCCTTTGCATGTAGATTGTGTGATGCACTTCATCTTCTCTAGCTCTTGCCTTTAAAGTTCTATATTATATATTATTTCTGGTGAGGAAGCACCGGTGATGTGATGGTATGGCTCTATCTATAAGTTTTTCAAATTATGATGATGCTCATAAATATTATGTACACTCAAGTGCATTTTTAGGAGGATTTTAATGAGTTTAAGAAGCTATCGCTTGCCTCAATATGATGTGCATCAGTATGCACGTCTTTTATAATCCCTCCGTCCCAATATAAGTACACTAATTTATACTACTATGAAATGTCTTATCCGATCTTAATTGTATTTATATTGGGACAGAGAGAGTATAATTGAAACATAAGTCTACCGAGAAAGGGAAACTAAGCTATGTACTTCGTACTAACCTTGATTTTCTATATTTTAGGACTTTTTAGATCTCATTTTATAAATATACTTATGAAAAAACTTATTCTAGAAATGAACCCTTATTCTCAACGCTAGAGTAGACCGAGTACCTATTTGTAAAAAAACTCAAAAAGGGTTATGATGTAAATATTTTTCTTGGGATAATTTTCAAAAAAAATATTTAAAAAATAGGTCACCGGTGCTAGTCTCTTTGGTGCCGACCCCTCTACATTTTGGACGCCACAGGGGTGAGGGTGTCAGCACTGGTGTTGTTAAGTTTTATAAAGGACCAAAATATAAAAATCCAGTACTACTAACATCATGGGCTCCTTCGGAACGCATGTTTTTTCATGACTTTTATACATTACCTCAATTTTGATAAAATTATCATACTATTACTTTGTTATAAAGGATGCATTTATAAATATGATACGGCTGATGTAGGGCTGTCAAAAAAGCTTGAGACTCGCGAGCTGTTCGAGCTCGACTCGTTTTAGGCTTGATTCGAGCTCCATACGAGCCGAGCCCGAGCCTCCCCCTCACGAGCTTTGTCAAGCCGAGCTCGAGTTTCTAACGAGCCTAGTAATATATGATTTTTTTTGTTGTTATTTAATAAATTATGAGATCAAATATGTTATTTTGTATGTCTTGTATTGGTATCATATATTTATTAGTTTTTTAAAGATTATCCTTGAAATATAAATTATTTTACTTAAAAATCAAGCTCGAACCAAGCCTATTTAAAAGCATCGAACATTTTATAGGCCGGTTTGAGCTTGTATCGAGCAAGCTCGCTTGAGCTCGGCTCGTCGACAGCCCGCTGATGCACGAGTTTTCTGGTTGCTTGAATCACATAGTCCAGGCTGCTGTCATACGTCTTGCAGATCAGAGCAGCTTTCTGAAAAAGCAGCCTCGTCATTAGTCACTTAATTATAATGCTTTAAAAGAGTCGTGCATGCCGACACCATTGGCCGTAAACTTTGGACCTGTACATCTAGCTACAGTCATATCTTGACATAGATGTGGAAAGGACACGATTTTAATTCAAAATCATGTAGTACAATGTATATGGACGGGCGCACAACTATCAGCTACTTTCTCCGATCATAAATATTTAACGTCTCGAACAAGAAATGATCAATTTTTTAAACTTTGATCATTACTCAGAAAGGTAGTAGTTGTTTGAATCTTTGACGAAGAATTCTTCAGAGTATCTCGCTCCGAAGAGGTGGATTAGCGACTAAGAATTAAGTTGGGCTCTTATTAGGCCGATTCAGTAACCATATGTAGCCGTCGATTCGACATCTGCCTAAATGGTCCGCATCTATCACTCCGAATCATTATCTACTGGGCTTATATTGAGCCAGGCCCACATTTGCATCCTCTAGGCCCACCACACAGTGCTATACTAGTCTATTACTACTGCGCTGAGCAGCTTCCCATTTCTAGGTTTCCCTCCTTGCCGCCGCCGCCGCCGCCACCGCCGCCGCAGCCTCCTCTCGCTCCGCCTCACCGCCGCTCGACGCCATGGGCCGCATGCACAGCAGCGGGAAGGGGATGTCCTGCTCGGTGCTCCCCTACAGGCGCGCCGCTCCCGCCTGGGTCAAGACGTCCGCGTCGGAGGTGGAGGAGATGATCGTGCGCGTCGCCAAGAAGGGCCAGCTGCCGTCGCAGATCGGGGCGATCCTCCGCGACGCCCACGCCGTCCCGCTCGCCCAGGGCGTCACCGGCGGCAAGATCCTCCGCGTGCTCAAGTCCCGCGGCCTCGCGCCCGAGGTGCCCGAGGACCTCTACTTCCTCATCAAGAAGGCCGTCGCGATGAGGAAGCACCTCGAGAGGAACAGGAAGGACAAGGACACCAAGTTCCGCCTCATCCTCGTCGAGAGCAGGGTGCACCGCCTCACCCGCTACTACCGCCTCGCCAAGAAGATCCCCGCCTTCTTCAAGTACGACTCCACCACCGCGAGCACTCTCGTGGCCTGAAGTGGAACTGAAGGTTTCGTTCGTTTTCAGCTTCTTTTTTGGGCGACTTGAATTCTCTTGACAGCCATGGAGTTTTGTTTAATCTTAAGTAAGTAGGAATGCTTTTGTTGGTGTAATGTGTTAAATCTACCTCCTGCACCTGAAGAGAAGTTGCTTACTGAGACTCGATCTAGGAATGCTTTTGTTGGTGTAATGTGTTAAATCTACCTCCTGCACCTGAAGAGAAGTTGCTTACTGAGACTCGGATCAGATTTTATTTTCCTGAAAGAAAGGTTATTCGCAATGATATGAAGTTCAATTTACACCTTGACTTTGGGTAGTTCTTTCTAAAGATGTGTGATAATAGAAAATGCAGTATTTGAGTGATGTATGATGCATGATCAGGTTGTCGAAATGCAGTACTTTTTTCATGTTGTCAGGTATGCGATGGTGAATTGTACCAATGTCCAATGGTACTAGGTTTGCTATGATTTGGCTAGCCTACATTATTGATTATTAGTGGAAAGAGTACTATTAAATGGTAATGTTCAATGTTTGACCTCTTGTAGCAGTGTTTATTTGCTTTTCCATGCTTCAAACTTTTGGACTAAGAGCTCTATAAACATTATTTTGGTAAACTTACTTGAAGGATTTTAAGTTGGGTGATGATACAATGTGTAACACAAATGCCAAGGAAAATGATATTTTGATCCAATTAATCTATAACTTCTGATATTGGGCAGGGGTACGAGATTATATAATATTTCTTTTTTTTCTAGCTACCATGTGCTGGTATCAGGGTGTAAGTTGTAACCTCTAACCTATTGAATTCTGCTGGTGCATAGACTAGTTCTTTTGTTGATTTTATAAATTATAAATCCATCGTATGCCATTTCTTCTGCTCGAGTCACCTTTGCTAATATTCCAATAGATATGCTTGCTCATGATTCATGTTTGAGAAACAGAGCTCATATCTCTTGTCACTTGAAGTTCTGAATGAATTCTTGTGAAAATTGTCCTTTTTTTGAGAAATCTGTGCCATAACATTTGGGAGCGGAAACATTATTGTGACAGTATCACATTTTTGTCTTTTGAAGTTATGAAGTATCCAGTTATGAGTACTAGTTGTCCTTTTGACTTTCAGATTGAGCTTTGGACATCTGTTTTGATTAGATTTAAGATCTCCGTAAGCAAATTTAGCGATATTTCAGTGTTAGGTCAGTGCACAATGTGAAACTAGCATTCATATTTTCATTTTGGAACCAACAGTATTGCCTAGCAAGGTTTTTTATTGACACTTCTTTGATTTGCTACTATACTTTGTGCTAAATCCACTGTTCTGACTGGAGCAGGTCTTGTTCCTGGATTATTTACATAACAAATGATCCAGCTAACATGCTGCGGCCACTGTATCATGTTTAGAAAGTAGAGCTCCAATTGCAGGTGAATTCCAACTGTCAGTGCAATAGGGTCTATTGGGAGCAGTCTCCTTTTGGGTATTTTAGGTCAATATGATCCAAGATCTTGATTAGTGGTTTGTGAATATATTCCAAGATCTGGTAACCTGATATCATGTCTTTTTGGTCCAACAGGTAGATTTCGCCTCACATGAATCAATCGGACCTATTGTCAGTTTGTCACTAGGTGTTTGTACATGTTGTCTTTGTAGCATAATTAGTACTGATGACCAATTAGCAGCAGCTAACTCCATTCATGCTTTACAATGATTGATGAAATAAAGCATCTGCACTTTATCATCTGGACGACTTGTTGGCTGGTGCTCGCGGCGCTGGGAATACCTGTCGTATGTGCGCCGCTGATCTGAATAATGTTGTGTGATTTTAATCAAGTTGGATACTTGATTTGAATATATTGCAGATATCGTACCTACTTGCTCTGTTTGTTTGTTTGTTTTTTGGTTATATTTCTAGGCAATGCATTGTAAGTTGAAGGCCACCATCACAGTATCAGCTAAGGGTGTGCATTTGATCTTTACCTTGTAGAGGTCATCAAACTCTAATCGTACCTGAAACTTTGTGTATTTTAGTCTTTACCTGCCATGGTGAAAGATTTGTTGACTCAGTTTGATAGGTCGTTTTACTATATTACTGTCATTGTGATCGTGCTCGGTATGTAGATTTATTTATGCGGGATGCATATGCTGCCCAACATCATTAGGCCACTAACTTACTGGTATTGTCCCACACTAATTAAGTATTCTGACTCTACAAAAAACGACTTCAACTAAGGCACCCTATGCTAGCATGCTACACCTTGTTTTTATCTCACTAGTCACTAAGATAATTTTAGGCAAAAGATCAAGTAGATAACCCCCTATGCTAGCATGCTACACCCTGTTTTGATCTCACTAGTTACTAAGATAATTTTAGGCAAAAGATCAAGTAGATAACCAATAATTTACTTTGGTATCCTTGGCTACTTCAGGTTGTTGCCTTGTTGGATTGAGATGCCATCAAGGCATATGGTACGGATAATTAGCACTGACAGTAATTACATACTCAATTCAATCAGCAACACAGATCTGAGTGTGAGGAACAACACCAACCAGGCAACCACGTTCTGGTCAAAGCCAGGCAAGAATTCCTTGATGCCTCCAAGCTCAGGATAAAACAATGACGCTTCCGGTACACTTGCTATCCAGTTGAATACATTATGCGAACATCTTGCCATTTCTTTAACGATCTTTGATCTGAATAAACAACTCGTCTTCAGACATGGCGCCATCCGGGCGGACAGTTCATCGCCCTCGTTTTATATATCTAGATCTGAACACAACCTGCTGCACTGCATTACCATCCATCTCTTCTTCTTCCTCTTCTACTTGAGCTGAAGCTGAAGCTGCCATTGTCTTGCTGAGCTCGTTTGGATCTCTTTGGTCTAGCTTGCAATGGCTAGCGTCGTGCAGTACCAGGCGGCGGCGGCGGCGACGGCGATGGCGTGCGAGGAGGAGTTCATTCCGCAGGGGCTGATCTCCTGCTTCGGGCGGTCGCTGTCGAGGGCGTCGTCGGGGCGACACCTGGAGTACTGCAGCAGGGACGTGAGCGGCGGCGGCGAGGATAGCCGGCGCATGGCGCAGGAGCGATCGGCGAGGGCGAAGCTGCGGTGGAAGGCCGTGGCGCAGGAGATCATGGCGAGGAGGAGCGGCGGCGGCGGCGGCGGATCAGGGCGGCGGAGGAAGACGGCGTTCAGCTACGACTCCAAGAGCTACGCGCTCAACTTCGACGACCAGGCCGCCGGCGCCGAGTAAGAGCTCCAGCCTCCAGCTGCTACGTCGCCGGTGAGCTAGAGCTAGCTGCAGAGACGGGACAGACGAGCGCGTGCAATATCGCGCTCGCGCGCGACGGCCGGCCGGCCGGCGAGGGGACGGAGTGCTCGCCGGTAGCTCCTCCGGTGACCTACCCGGTGGTGTGCATTGCATGCATGGATGGCGGGATCCATGTGAAGACAGAGAGAGATCAAGCTTGAAGAATGAAGAGCCTGAAGGGCGGTGGTTCTTGTTCGAGTTTTGTTTCTTTGGCTGTTTTTTTTTTCATTTTTGAGATTGTAAACGTATGCATCCTGACATCTTGAATTGTTGATGTGGTGCAGTAAGTAATAAAAAACTGAGGCATTTATTCAGAAAGTATTCACTGCGTTTTATGGCTTTTTATCTTATACCTTCCAAATTCCAATGGCGGCTTCAAACAGCAGATGGTTTCAGCAATTGTTTTGCCTGGTTTTGGAGCAGTGGTAATTCTGTTATGTGGGGGGGCACTTGAATGTTGAAACTTCAAGCCTTGTTTCTTTTATTTTCTGAAGGCTTCAAGCCATGTTAGTGTATCGGTATAGCTGTTTAGTAAATCAGCAAGTGGTTTCCGTACTCCACTAATCTTCACAAACATGAACCAAGAGGGTACAGCAACGTGCTGTTGTTATGTCTCGTCATGTGCTGCATAGCGGTGCCGGTGCAGTAGTGTCATTTGGTTTGTGGAAGATATTGACCGGCAAATTAATACGTCGACGACTACATGCCAGTTTTCCATTCTCTGGATGATGCACACGCCAAGGACCCAAAGCATGCATGAATGGCTTCCTACCATGATAGTTAGTCGTTGCCACTCATTTATACCGGTGGCGAACGCATGATTTATTGGTCGGTTATTCACTTGATAATTACATGCACCTTGGATTTGATGTTTGATAGACTAGTGTTAAGAGATTTGAGATAGTTGACTACTAGACTATTAGTACCTCCTCTAAACTAATAATACTTGTCGTTTTAGATAAGGGTAAGATCAAACTTTAAAATATTTGATTGTAAATTATTTTTAAAACACTTGTTTTCAAATATAATGACTACATGCATATGTTAGTCTTGAAAAGTACTTTAATACAACCATATATTTATTAATACTTTTACACGAATTATAATGAAAAATAATGGTCAAAGTTGTTTTTGGAGACCGTACTCTTGTCCAAAATAATAAGTATTATCAACCTGGAGGGATGAAGTGTTGTGAGCTAGAAGTGCATAAGGAGTGAATTTGTTGAGAAAAAAAGTATTAGGCACATTCGAGTATAAATACATATAATATACTACATATATTATGCTTTTAATGAAAAATTTGGGTATTTCCAGGAATACAAGAATACCCATTGATTTCGCCATTGAATTATATTGCCCCCATCTTTCACTTGCAGACGACGCAACTATTTATAGCAAGGCATCTATAGTAATTTTACCAATTTTATTAGAATTCAGGTTTTGAAGATGTTTGTAGGGGTAGATGTGCTTATAAGAGTGCGTGCGCCTTTACTGTAGGTGTTTTTTTTAAAAAAAAAATAAATCCAAACATCGGTGAATCAAGAGGCTTTTCAGGTTGGGGTACAGAATATGTCCCAGTCCTCCCATTGCTTCTCATCTCTTCCATAACACATACTCCCTCTGTAAAAAAAAATCAACCTAGAACAGGATGTGACATCTCTTAGTACAACGAACCTGAACAACCCTCTTCTTGGTTGCGTTTTTTTTATGGAGGAAGTAGACAGGTAGAACAATGTGTCTACTTATCATGCCATTTTGTTTGGGTATTGTGCAAACTGCAAAACTTTCCCTTGCTACAACTCTCAATGCTAAAATCTCTATAACCGATTTCAGGGACTAAACTCTACTTCTTATTGGACCACGTGGAGCTCCGTAAATTTGGAATTGTCTCCTCCAAGAATCTGCCATGTGTCCATGTGGAGAAAACTAGCCTAGACGTTTCATTGTGAAATGAAAAAAAAAAATATATTGGCGTGTACAGCCCAGTCACGGATGCCTGCCTGGGCCTGGTCGTCCGGTGCCGTTGCTACAGCATTTGCATTGTTTCCTTCTCAAGCTAATTGTGCACACAGGACCAGGCATAAATGAGATAAACGAAAGTAAAAAAAAAACAAAGAAAAAATATATATATTTTTTCAAAAATTATCTAAATAAATAAAATACATTATGGTTAAACCCGAAAATTGATTTACGTACCTAACCATACTGATATCCCATATTTATATGAAATAAATAAAAAAACTAAATTACAAAAATAAGTCGAAACATTGGATGAAAATTTGCAATATTAACAACCAATATTTCTTCGAATGTGCATTTCACTATTGATACTGTATGCACAATTTTTTGCTTAAAAATTGCCACAATTTTGAGGAAACATAACTTTACGTTTTTTTAATAGCATCTCTAATCATGTGTCTAATTATTGGCAATCACTAATTACAATCCAACTTTGTTTTTTTTTTCATTCTAACATAAAATTAAATTCCATCTTTCTGAGACAAATACAAAATTATATTCCATTAATTAATATTTCCTTTTTGAAAGATTATTTTGTGGGTGTTAAACTAACTTGTGTAAAAATATATTACTACACCAGTTTCAAATTACCGGTCATTCTCACATTTCAATTTCTAGATCAGGATCCCCTATCTTCACCTTTCATCAATGCCACATATATCTGGTAATCAAGGTTAACATTACTCTTAAAACCACTAGAATGTATTAAATGAGCATAACAATGTAATTTGCTGCATAATTTGCTAGAGTGATAAATAATTCAAAATAAAGGCTGGTAAATTTTCCAAAACAATAGGTCTAGATAAGATATACATGCTATAAATTTACCGACGCGCTAACAGACGCACAGATTTTCTAGTATAATCTAAATTTAGATTAGACACGATCTAGCTAGTACTAGAAACATAGACATAATCTCATCGAGCATTACGAATCTAGATATGTAGATGTATCAAATCCAATATATGTAGTAGTATATTTTAGAACAGGATAATAGCTAATGTTAACCTACCATATATATCCAAATTCGTAATAATACTTTTCTCCTATAAAACAACAATCTAAGATATATCTCAATATTACAATAGTAGTATATTATTCGATACTAGATTATTACTATATCCGTTTCAGGTTATAAGACTTTCTAACATATATGTGTGACTAGATTTATTAGCATCTAATATGAAACGGATAAAATATATTGTAAGATAAAGAAAACATTAAGTCGTGTCTATTCCAGTATTAGTTGCTATATTTAGCACGGGGCAAGCCTAATATCCTAGTCGAGCTCTCTCGCTGGGGCCTGGGGGAGAGTAGTAGTAACAACAGGAAAAGGGAACCGCGTGGCCTCCATTCGCGGTTAACCCCATTCGCGGGGCCTCCATCGATGGAGGCCTCTCTCCCGTTTCACCACCACCACCCCGCTGCCTCCTCCACCGCGGCGCATCACGCGGCCCGCCTCACTCCTCCTCCTCCTCCGCGAGACCCGCGTGCCACTGCCCGCTGGGTGCCCCCCGCGGCCGCGCCCGTGCGGAGCCGGAGCCCGGCAAATCTAGGGTTGCCGCCCCATCCTCCCCGACGCCTCCGCCTCCGCCTCGCGCCGCCGAGGATAACCGCTGCAGTCACGGGAGGGCCGCGTCGCCCCCGCCGCCGAGCCCCGCCTCCCTTGGAATGCGCCGGCGGCAGCAGCAGCAGCCTACGACGACCGCGTGAGGAGGAGGAGGAGGAGGAGGAGGAGGAGCGCTCTTCGACGGCGCACGCGGGGGTGAGCCTAGGTAACGTGCCCTACCAACCCCGCGTGTCCTCTCCTCCCTCTCGGTAATTTGTTTACACGATGAGTTGATGCAATGCGGTTGATCTCCTGTTGACCGGGGAGACCATGGCCCGCGTGGTGGAATTGGGGCGGCGGAAGAATTCGGTTGCGTTTGTATGCATTGCATCACTGCGGAATCGTGTGGCCGTGGCTTGTCTCCTCGTCGTCCAGGAAATTCCAGTCACTTGAATCTTCCCAACTGCTTCATTTATTAGTATTGTTTTGGGCTTGTATCCTAAGTATTGGGTACTGATCTTCTTTTTTAATCCGTTTACCTATTATACTAGTGGTCACTGGTTTGCAGCAGCGATTGTTCTGATACTTGATGTGATCTTTTATTTTTCCCCTAAAATTTTGACCAACGGATTAGACTACAATTAAATAGACAGCCAAGTTCTTTGCTTATGTCACCAATTAGTTAGCTTGTTTTGTTACGCTTTGTGGACATAAGGAAAGAGATCTGTTGTTTAGGAGATAAGTCTATCTTATCAATGAGTTCTGAAGTTATACAATGATTAACTGGATTGGAAGAAATTTCTGCTTTCGTGTAGCCCTTTTTCTCACTGTGATCTGAGTAATTGTGATTTTACACAGTGGGCGAGAACAAAGTTTTGCAAATGTCATCAATTGTGCCGAAGGCGTCCAATATCTTCTGGCATGATTGTGCAGTTGGCCAGGCTGATCGGCAGAAGCTACTGAAGCAGAAAGGTTGCGTTGTTTGGATCACAGGACTTAGTGGTTCAGGTAAATAAAGCTAATTTCTTTGAAACTTTGTGTTGTGCTTCTTGGGATGTTGGCACATCTGCTGAGCTGTTCAAGCATAAGATAATTTCAACAGCAATTTGTGTCTATGTGGAATGATATATCTTTACTAACAAATAAAACGTTCTTAAAGTGCATCCTACAATATTTTGGGCTAAAGGATGTAATATTGGGTGAATCTTGTTACATTCTACGCAATGCAAAAAATACTACTGCCTTATTTCTTTAGTTCTTGAATGATTTATATACTTATTGGTTTGGTAACTACTGAAATATTTTGTACTTTATCTTCATCGTCTCTACTGAAGCAATTTGATCAACAACATTACACGAGTAGGAAAATAATATTGATGCATCAGTGACATGTTCAGTGCTCCCAGGTCCTGCTATTGATCCTCACACTGGATGTTGCTGTTCAATTTTTACATTTTTACAATGCTACTTAGCAACTTTCCCTTAAAATATTCAGGCGATTATTGTAAGTTTTGCTCACAAACCATGATGAGTTCAACTGTGTTTAAGAGGTGGTGATCTGTTCAAAATGATCAACTACATTTCAGAGTGTCATGTCAATATATGATATATTGTACCTATTTTTTGCTGTCCATGAATCCAGGGAAATAGCTTTCAGGTTATTGACGGGCAAATCTGTAGAGTTTGTACTGTAAGCTGACATGTCGTCATCTACATGAATGATGCTTTAGTTTCTCACTATTGATTTGTTCTATCTTCATGATTTAACATTTATTGTCAGAACAAAACTTCTTAACTTTCCAAGTGATGATTTACTTTTTTTTAAGTAAGTTCATTCTCTTACCTTCCATTGTCAAGGTAAAAGTACCCTGGCATGCACATTAGATCGAGAGCTCCATACAAGAGGGAAGCTTTCTTATGTTCTTGATGGTGATAATTTAAGACATGGTTTGAACAAGGATCTTGGCTTTAAGGCGGAAGACCGTGCTGAAAATATACGCAGAGTTGGTAAGTATCCCCTGACACAGAACTTTCATGTGGCAATTGAATGAAGTTCTGATTTAGGTAAAAATATGATAATGCTTTTGTTGTTATTTTACATTTTTGACACATCTGTGCTTGACATTTATATCCAACTATTCTGAGCAGGTGAGGTAGCAAAGCTATTCGCAGATGCAGGCCTAGTATGCATTGCAAGTTTCATATCTCCGTATAGGAGAGACCGTGAGTCTTGTCGTGCATTATTGTCAGATGGTAGCTTTATTGAAGTAAGCAATTCTTAGTTTATCTTCTGTTTAAGTGCACCTAGCTTTGTTATGGACTTTAATTTTGAATATTCACAAACATCCCTGAAACCCCTTTTGTAGGTTTTCTTGAACATGCCCTTGGAATTGTGTGAGTCAAGGGATCCTAAGGGCCTTTATAAGCTTGCTCGTGCAGGAAAAATAAAGGGTGAGATACTCATATAGTGCTTGATTTCCAAAATCGAAAGATTTAAGAGTCCTTATTACGAAAGTGAATTGTTTAAAAATTCGCCTTACTTTTTAAGATTTGTTCCTAATATCTGCATGATTGCCTACTTGAATAATTACTCTTGCCAAGTTGAAGTACATTACGCATATCTTGGTCTCTTGGGGAAGCAACACCAGAAACCAAACTAGAGAAAACTTAATAGATGGCCGTTCTCCAAAATTGTCGATTTCTTTAAGCACCAAGAGTCTGTAGTTTTTTTTGCCTCATGCTCTTGTGCAAGTCCAGACATCTTAGAAAGGAAGTTTCGTTGTGTGCCACTGCCAACTCGTCCTCACTTTGTCAGCTCTAACCTTTATCGCTGCCAATAATCTCCATAGTAGTTTTTGAATCATGTATACATCACTCATGCTTCAAGCTTTAATTTTGTCCTGTTGCAGGTTTTACTGGAATTGATGACCCTTATGAATCACCATTAAACTCTGAGGTACATCTCCATTAGATTTGCTATCATCTCCACATGGTCAAAGTGTGCATTATTAACTGTGTTAGTATATGGCTGTTCTTTCTGGTTCATATTAAATCAGTGGCCTTAATGAAACTCAAGATATTAAAAGTTTTCATTTGTGATTGGATTAGATTGCAGAGCGATCCATTTTATAAGCATGTTACTCCTACATAATAATCTTGTAGGATTAAATGCATTCTCAGAAGAGGCAATGATAAAATATATGCATTGGTGGTCGGCTGATGGGAATGGCAGTTGTGGGTAGCAAATGTTACATTATGATTATTGCCACACTAGACGTCTATATCGCTAGCTGAATATAGTTTGTGATCCTTATTGTATTTTATCCTCAATTTTAAATTACATATGTAGCAGTCTGGAAGACACCTTTAATCAATTCGGTAGTTGTCTATTTGTACATCTATGTCTTTGTCATTGTATCATTTATTGTGCCCCACATGAAGTTGCCACTGTTTGTCCTTTACCCAGTATCACGAACTCTTCCTTTTGTTACAGATTGAGATCAAAGAAGTGGATGGTGTATGCCCTTCACCATCGGACATGGCAGGACAAGTAGTCACTTATCTAGAGGAGAAAGGGTTTCTGCATGATTAGATGGGATGCATCGATCAGCCGGTAGAGTTTTCTCCTCCATATTAGACTAGTTCAGAATAAGTCAAGCTTTGGCATGTTTTCTGTACTTGTTTTTGTTTAGATTGGTTACATGCTTTGATCTACCCATATTCCTTCTTCACTGCACAGCTAATGGAGCTGTGCAATGACATTCAGGTAAGTTGGAGTAGATTTGTTTTTTTGGGATCCAAAATCATCCCAGTTATTAACAGGCCGTAGAAGATATCCATTTACTTCTGTTCTTACATTGTGGACTTTATACTGTTACTGTTCTTCTACCAGAATCAGTGCCTGGGCTGCGTACATCCATCGTGGATGAAGAGGCTGGATTCCAATCCATTTTCTAAAAAGAAAAGAATCAGTGCCTGTATTATCTGAAACCAATCCGAACTTCAAGGCTGTTTGGTCGTAAGAATATAAAATTGTCGTGACCTTGACTTTAGATAATACGGATGCCTGGTGAGGGTAATGTCTCGTCCACGGAAATCATTGGAAGTTCCCACTTCCGTGATCATCGGCAACTATGTTGTCGTTATATGATCTGAAGTTACGAGGGGGAAAAACAAACATATCTACTCCCTCCGTCCCACAACAAACATACTAGGTGATGTCGTATCTAGTCTTAGATTACTATATTAGGACTAGATTACTATATTGTGAGACGGAGACGGAGGGAGTAGCAGACCGAGAAGGGTAGGAAGATGGGGGAATGCTAGAATTGGCGTCAACCAAACACGGAGGACGCGGACGGTACAGGGAGGGAAGACGGACTTATGTGAGCTCCTATGCGATGGTGTGTGGGAAGGAGAAAAGGGATGTGGTGATGTGATAAGATTATTGCGTTGCACGAATCTTGGCGTGATCTAAATAGTCTAAAATGAAGTTGTGTGTTTTCAGGTGCTTAGAAACTACTCCCTTCGTCCAAAAAAAAATTTAGAATTGAATAGGATTTTTGTTAGCACAACGAATCTGGATAGGAGCTTGTCCAAATTTGCTGTACTAGGAAATGTCTAATGCAATACTAGGTTGTTTTTTTAAGGGTGGTGAGAGTACACTCTTATCCAAACGGTAGTGCAGGCTGCAAGCTTGCGGTTTCTTACAGAGTCGACGTCGTCTCTGTCAAACAACAGACATGGTCCACCCAAGAGGGATACGGCACCTTTGCGAGCTGCGTCGACCGCTCCGCCGCGGAGACGACCAGTCGAGATCACCACACACCTGCCGGCCCATCTGCCTACGCGTCCTGTACACTTGCACACGCCCCTCCAGCCCCTCGCGGCACGGTCAAAACCGCCCTGCCGCTCCCGACAAAAACCGCGCGCCCCCCGCGCCCCCACCGGCCGGACGATGCGACGACCGGCCGCCCCGCACGAACGCAGCAGCTGCCTCCTCCTCCTCGTCTTTCCCTCCCGCACGCCACCACCTCACCCACCTATCCACGTCAACTCCCTCCGTCCCTCGCCCGCGCGAGCTACGTACTACGTTTACCCTTCTCCCTTTCTCCGCGACTCCACCCCACCGCGCGCGCGCACACAGAGCGCTTCACGCAAACGAGGAAAAACCCCCCCACCCACAAACAAAAAACCGCACGCAACGCAACAACGTACCACGAGTCTACGAGGCAGATGGTGTTCAGCGTCGCGTGGGTGGCGGCGGCGGCGCGGGTGCCGGCGGAGCTGTGCCAGGGACAGGGCGGGGCGCGCGGGCGGCGGCGGCGGCTGCGGGCCGACGAGGTGCTGCGCGCGCTGCTCGTGGCGCCCGTGCGGGAGCTCGAGCGCCTCGCCGACTGGCTCTTCGTGTTCTTCTGCCTCCCCCTGCCGGACTACTACGTGCCGGGCTCCGGCCGCGGCGGGCTGCTGGTGGCGCGGGCGCCGTCGTCGCCGTCGGGCGGCGCGCTCCTGCACTACGGCGGTAGGTACCGGAGGCCCCTCTCGCTCTTGTTGCCGTCGTCGTCGTCCTCCTCCTCCTCCTCGTCCATGTCCTCGTCAGAGGAGTACTACTATTACTCCGACGATTAGGAGGACGCATCGAATCAAGCTGAGGTGTACCGAATGCAATTGTGTTGTGGTTTATTCATCTATCTAGCCATGGCCATGGGCTTTTGTGTGCTAAATTCTTTGTGATTTGTACATATGTGTCATTGAACCGACAAATTCAAATGATGGTTTTTGTTGATTTTGTTGGTTAAAGATTGTTTCGATTCTGAAATTTCAGGCGTTTTTGATGGTTTTGCGGTAGCTTCTTTGATTAAGAAATGAATATCAAAATGATGTCTTTTAATTTGTTCTTGACATGAGTGTACGTAACAACTAACAACCATATATATAGGTGGACGGCGATTAATTATTTCGAAGAAAAAATATACTAAGTTTGTACTATTTGGTGGCCGGACAATAATTGGGCCATTGCAACAAGAGCAATGAAGAACAAATCGATTGTTTACTAATTGTCCCTTTCGATCTCGATCTATCATATATTCTTAGGGGACCCTTTTCTCATCTTCAATACATCTCGAGCAGTGGTTGACAAAGTAGTGGGGGATTGTCTAACATAAATCGTCTGAAAAAGAGAAAATGGTACGGGTAGTCTTTGTTATGAAGATCCTTCCCTAAGTTGCAATATTACACTTCTAAACATTTTAAGGTACCTTCCAATTATTAGTAAGAAGTTCGATCACATTAGGGCATGTACAAAGTTAGAGTCTAATATAAGCTCTCTATATTAATTTGCGTCACTAAAGAGCTCTCTATATTAATTTACATCACTAGAGATCATCCTCATACAATAGTAGAGACAATAAGATCTCTTAATCATTAATGCACTAACTATTTTTTTTATTATACTTCTTTCCTTTTTTTTCCATCCTCATGCAACAAACTTTCCGTTAATAAATACTAAGAGTGGATTCTAAGCCATTGTTATGCGTAACAATGATGTTTCTCTTTTATTCCCTCTCTTTCTTTCACATCATCAAATTTACATGACAACAAAGAGAGCCCATTAAGGGCATGCACAAAGGTAAAATCAAATATGAGCTCTCTATATTAATTAATGTCGCTAGAGACTATCCTCTTACGATAGTTCACTCTCCGGATTCATTTTAATTGACGTTTTAGACAATGACACGGTCTGCAAAATATATATTTGACCTTATTTTTCTATTATAATATATATGCAATAAATAAATGCATGTTTACTTTTATTATAATGCTTTGAAAGACAAATCTATATATGTTGTTATAGTTTCTTTAAACTAAATATTTTTAAAATTATTGATGGTCAAAGTTATAAAAGTTTGACCTAAACATCAGTTATTATAAAACCAGAGGGAGTAGAGACTAAACCATTAATGCACTATTTTTTTATACTTCTTTCCTTTTCTCCACCCCCATGCAATAAATTTTTCGTTAATAAATGCTAATAGTCGACTCTGAGCCGTTATCATACGTAGCAACGATGTTTCTCCTTCCTCCCATCTCTTTCTTCCATGTCACCAAATTTACTTGTATGAGAACGAAAAGAGACTCTTATTAGACATGATTATACATGCCCTTATTTCCCAATAACAATTCCATTTTTAAGACAACTATAACCTACAACATTATTCCAGCATACAAGTGTATCGAAGACACACACATCAGGGTTTACCTTTCTAATGAACTGTTTGGATCTCGACGCAACGGGTTTTGCCAAATTCCAATCGAATTTACTGTTTCAGATTTCAATTTCTTAGGAACTATTTTAATTTTGCCTCCAAATCTGCTTTCATCCTATGTCGAAGCCATGAAATTTCATGGTTTTCTGTTTGTAAAAAAAAAGAATAAGAAGAAAAACCCTGGCACACATATGCATATCACATGAACACAACCGCGACTTCGCAAATACTTCCATTTTAACACATGAAAGATACTTTTAAGTATAAGCGATACATCCCTAATATCATAAAATTTGTACAGGAAGTGTACCTAACTGTGTGTACCAGGATTTGAGATGTGGTAAGCCACAAATTAACTCCATCACCAGACAAAAATGTGTTCTCATATGTAGGAAAACATGCGATTAACTATTCATTTGCCTAATGGCCTTAGGTTGTGTTCGAGTTCAACAGTTTGGCTGGCTAATTTGTTTCATGTAAAATAAGATGGGTCATTAAGGAATGATTAATTAAGTACTATATCTATTTTATATTATAAGTCGCTTTGATTTTTTTCTACTCAAACATTTTCAAGTTTGACCAAATTTATAAAAAATTATGGTAACATTTTCAACATAAAACAAACGTATTATCAAAATATGTTTAATGAAACTAATTTAGTGTTAAAAATGTTACTAAATATTTTTATAATTTTGATCAAATTTAAAGAAATCTAACTATAAAAAAACAAAAATACTTATAATATAAAATGGAAGCAATATTAATTATTGAAAATTTGAAAATAAATGAATCTATTTGATTTTTAAAAAACTTGTATATATAAGGTTTTATCACAACATGCATTATTGAGCCGTTTGTGAAGTGTGTCCATACAAAAGGAAAATACTCGGCCAGGTAACCCAATCAAACTCAGCCTTAAGTTATTTGAGAAAACCGTGCACTTTATTTTGATAGGTATCGGTTTCTAACTTTTGGTACCTTCGTCCCAAAATATAAAAACCTATACTAGATATAACATTTGCTAGTAAAATGTATCTGGACAGAGGAAACGTCTCATCCAGTCTTAGATTTTTATATTTTTGAGATGGAGGGAGCAGTAAGATATTTGCACAAACACACTATGTTTTTCAGTGCCTTGCTATATACATTGATTTGTACAGAAGTAAACGATCAAATGATTCAGTACCTATTGCTACTATCTTCATTCCAAAATAAGTTTATTTTTCACTCATCCACACATACCAATACAAATATTAAAGAGTAGGATATTCCTACTTTATCCAAACACAACACAACTATTCATCACTTTATCTACTCCCGATATAATTATTCAACATTCGCAAATTCCCACGTAATGATTACTTTTAGAAAATAAACATATTTAATAACAGCTATAAATTAACTTATTTTTTTTAGATCAGAACACATTTTGCCCCGACTATACATAAGTTCACATGTCCTCTGGCCCTCTGGCCGTCGATTTATGTACCACTTTAATACTCCCGTCTATCTAGATTCATTGTACTAAGATTCATTGAACGGAGGGAGGGAGTACTTCATAACACAATAATCCTTGAGACATAAATTAATTAAATAATATATGGGCCAATTCTTACGGAGCTTCAATTCTTTAGGCCTTTAATCGATGGCCCATTAATATCCCGGCCTTTCACACACGGCGGCCCATGCAAAGCCCAATTTGACCGGCCGCGTGACCCGCGTTTAGACTTTTGACTAGCCAACTCACACAAACGAGTATAAACGACCAAACCGAAAACCAACGCGGGTGCTATCCCAGCCGTCCGTTCCCACCTGACAACCGACCGAATCGAACGGCCACCATAGCCCCCTCACCTCACCACCTAATCCAACTTCTAATCGAGCGACTCCTCATCATCGTCGAGTCGATCTCCCTCACGAAGCAACCCCAGCCTTCTTTACCTTTCCCGGGCCGTGTCGCCCACGCGATTCCCTTCCCTCCAATCGAATCACGTCGCCGTCCTCCTCCGCCTCCGCCGCCGCCAACCTCGTCGGCGCCGCCCTCGGATCCACGCCGCGCGATGCAGCACGGAGACTACGCCTCCTCGGCCCCCCCGGCTGCGGGCCACTACTACCCGCACCAGTTCGCGCCGAATCCGCCTCCGCACCCGGCCTCCTCCGCCGCCGACGCCGCGCCGCCGACGATCCCGGCGAGCTACGCCTCCGCGCCGCCCTACTCGGTGGGAGGGTACTCCGATCAGCCGCCGTCGGCCCCGTCCTACGCGCCGCCGCCCCAGTACGCCGGGTACGCGCCGCCCTACAACAATCCCAACCCCGCGCCCTACCCACCGGAGTCGTCCCCGGCGCCGGCGCCGTACTACAGCTACCCGCCGACGGCGGCGGGGGTGGCCACGCAGCATGCTCCGGCGGCGGAGCCCAGCCCCGCGCCGCTGCCCTACGACGCCCCGTACTACGGAGGCTACCAGCCGCCTCCTACCGCGGGGTACGGCGACGATGATTACCTGAACGAGGGCGCCTACGCGTATAGCGGCGACGGCGGCTCCGAGCCGTACGGGGCGCGCGGCACGGCGCCGACGCGGTCGGGTGCCGCGATGTTTGATGACTACGGCCGGTCGATTGGGCCCTCGTCGGGAGGGGCGGACCAGTGGCCCACCGGTGGCGGCGGCGGTGTGGGTGGGAGCTTTGGGAAAATTGCGAGGGCTGTTCCAAAAGCAGAGTCTCATGAGGATGCTAACGGTGGTGCGCAGAAGTTTCGGGTTAAACTGCTGCCTGAGGGTGCCGGGAGCCCTACCGATGTGCTTTGTCAGGTATGATAGGATTGGTCAAATTATACATCACACATGCAAAATTTAGAGTAATGATGTTTGAAACTTTTTAGATTATGCGCTAGAGTGACCTTGGTAGTTCCAATATGCCTTTAACATGTTTATTTTTGCTGTTGCAGATTGGTCTGGATGGAATTCGCATGCTTGATCCCAGCACAAGCAGGACACTAAGGATTTATCCCCTTGATACACTGACAAGATGGGATGTAAGTGCGACATCCTTTTGCAGAGGATTATGTGTATATCTTCTTACTACAAAATACAATGGCAATGTTGTTTTTCTAATGGACGGTTCATGGTTGTGGTGCTTGGTTAGGTTTTAGATTCAACCGTATTTGCATTTTGGGCGAAGACTCCAGTTGATTTTGAAGCAAAGCGAATAAGGTTGAAGTCAAACAGCTATACCTCCAATACTTTGCTTGACACTGTGACTGCAGCAACAGTGCAGGTGATCATCTTCCTCCATTATCAATCGCTATTTACCCTCATTTTAAGATTCTTAGGTTTAGACTTGCTTTGCTCTGTAACACACTAACACCACTACTAATAGCTGCTTTTGGTGAAAAAGTGTTAATTAGAAAAACCAAAGCGATGAATATTTGAATTTGAACCAATACTTAGGAAACAGCAAAATATGACTTATATCATGAATGTCTCTCTTCTCCAAAATATTACTAGAAATCAATATGTCATACTGCGGCGAGTATGATGCCATATAAGTTGGCTAACTTGGATACCACCTTATTACTCTGTTTGAATTATATTCCAATATTCTGTGTTTGAATTACTCTCTTGTATATTGATGAATGGAATATAAGTTGCTAACTTGGATTCCACATTGATTGGCAGTATCCTTTCACAATATTTGTAGAAACTAGTTTTTTTTTTAAAGAAAAGGTTTTGCTCCAACATATTTTTCTTGATAGATTTTGTTCACGGAGTTGCTCATACATTCAGCATATTTAATGCTTCTTCTTTTTTTTTTACAAAACATTCACATTTTTTAACTTTGTGAAACTACTTACAGTTTAAGGAGATTGGTGGAGATGCAAGAGGCAGAGGAACTGTAGACAGTAGCAAACCCATGTCACAATCAAATGAGAAGAAGAAAGGTTTTGATTGGATGTTTGCAAAACCTGTTGACGAAGTGAAAGACCATTGGGTAAGTTGAATTGCTGCGACACACATTTACTACTTGATCTTAGTTACAAGAATGCTGGAACCTTTTTAGTTTATTATTTGTTTACTTGCATTGTTCCACTTCTTATTTTTGATAATTTTCTTGCAATATCTGCTCTTCCCTGCGAATGCATGTAGTTTGGCCCCTTTTTTGAAGTGTATATAGTTTACCCTTTGATTAGTCCTTTACATGACGATACACTCTGTAACCATTTTGGTTGAGCATTTCAGCATATAATGAAGACCACTTCAGTTCACTTAGCAGTACTGTTGCTCTAGCCACTGACTGTTTTGCCATCTTGTACCACCATTTTGTTAATCTTATGATCGTGTTTCTTCTCTTTATCCCCTTTCTAGGTTCCAGATGAGGCTGCGAAGAAGTGCTACTCATGTGCTGTTGATTTTAGTCCTTTTAACCGCAGGGTAATTTGAATACTCTTTGTTCGGATATACTTATTTGTTACTTTTATGATGATATTTTGATAAATTAAGATGATGTTTTCTTTGCAGCATCATTGTAGGAACTGTGGTGAAATATTCTGTGACAAATGCAGTCAAGGAAGAACTGCTCTGACTGCTGAAGATAATGCCCCGCTTGTCCGAGTTTGTGATAGATGCATGGTACGTTCTGCTTCTTGTTTCTTAATTATATATTCTTTCTTTTGCTTGATGTTATCTTAGGTATAGTTACTTAGCTCATTTTAAGCATAGCTTGACTGTGTTACTTCTTGGTTGTATTTCTCTTGTTTTCCAAAGCGAGCACAGCTCGCATAACCTCTGCAGCAACTCACCTATTGTCTGTTGCTCTACTTATACATGCTTTAGCAGTTTTATCACTGACCAAATGGAAAACATAGTAAAATTTGAATAGCTGTGCACTATAGCTCTTCTTGGCGAGTTTCAATTCAGTGCCATGTGTTCATACGTTAGAATGTTTCTTATTCTCTCAGGCAGAAGTCTCTCAAAGGCTTAGCATAGCACAGGAAGCTGCCAACAGGTCTGCCACAGTGCAAAGTCATGAAGATCTTGCAAGAAAACTTAAGGTGACGTACTAGATAACACTTCCTCTATATTATACATTCATTGGAGTGACTTGTACACTTGACGGATTAATTGAGCATGATTTGTTGGAATGTAAGAGTTGTAAATGTTTGTTGGCACATGTTTTGCCGCCAAAATTTTAGTCCCTAACATCTTAGGTGCCATCAGGAAATTTCAGCATGTTCTATGAGTCTGTGATCTTAACAAATTTATGCTTTGATCAACAGGAGGAAATGGAGAGAAATCGCAAGTCCTCGGGTTCTGCATCTGGAGGTTCATCTGGGACCAGAATGAGGGAAGTTGCATGTCCTACTTGCACTGTCCATCTTCAGGTCGGTCTGACTTTAGGCACTCAAATGTGAATGCTCTTACAGTAATGACTTCGTTTGGCGCTTACATACTAACAGTGGATGTGCAATTGCAGGTTCAGGTTCCAACCTCTGGCTCAGAAACAGTGGAATGTGGGGTATGCCAGCATGCTTTCCGTGTCAGCGCCAATTGATAAACCGGGAGACAGAGCATGTCTATAGCAATTATTCTGTTTATAACTCACTTATTTTGCTGTTCCATACATAATAAGCGTGTGTGCAGCCTGTAGATATTTCCTGGTTGTGTTGGTGACCATGACAGGATATACTAGGTTTTTCTTGTACATGGGTTAATCCTAAAATATATGCTCTAATACTGCTGAAATTGAAACATGCTTGGATGTCTCTGGAGAATATCAAAGAAACATTCGTTTCTATGCTTCAAACATATATATCTCAACATAAGTTCTTAAAAACAGCTTTGGGTGTGCTTTCAGATACAAAATGGAATGCCTTTTGCAGCAAATGTGTAGAACTGCATCTAACTATGAGTGTTTTAAGATGCTTTGCATCTTCCTGTCAGCATGGTCGGCTCGCTTCCGGTTGCAAATATGTCTTCTCTGGATTATCTAGGCAAATGTACTTATTGCCTAAAAGTCTAAAACACTTGTTATTGCTTGCTACTTCCTCTGTTTCACAATGGAAGTCTTTCTAGTATTGTCTATATTTATATAGGTGTTAGTGAATCTAGATATATATGTGTTTAGATTCATTAACATTTATATAAATATGAGTAATGCTAGAAAGTCTTACATTATGAAACGGAGTGAGTAGTTGCTAGTACTACTTATTAGACAAGAACTGAATGTGGGGCAAAGATCAAACTGCGCCTAGTTGAAGCACGCAAGAGCCTAAACCCAACCTCACTACAAGTCACTATAGCAGCTTCTTGTATCAACATTCATCATACCTCTCGAAAAGCAACATTCTTGACCAAAATTTATGGCCATCAAGTGACCCCCCATGGCCATGGCCCAACTGAAGCAGCATCCGCATCTGTAGTTCTGCACACGCTCCACAGCAGTGTCATCTAGCTCCAGGCAAAGAGTGTGCAGGGAATCAGGATAGCACGTCGCAGGCCAGGCCACAGGCCAGCAGCAACGCAGGCAGCATCCATGCACGCATGTGCCCGGTGTCCATCGGGACGGATCTAGAAATTTTCTGCAGTTTGAGCAAGACACTACAACAATGGCTAGGTCAATGTTATTGTAAAATGTTGGTGATATACTATCGAGATTGATCCGGTTCCTAGTACAATGTTGTTGTAAAATGTTGGTAATTGCTATCGAGATTGGTGTATAAATTTTCTTAATTTTCTTGAGGTCTTGTTCGACTTAGAGGGGATTGAAAAGTATTGAAGGGGATTGAGGAAGAATAATCACACTATAATAGGTGTGTAATAAATCCTCTCCAATCTCTCGCTCACATGGATTAACCAAACAAGGTCTGAGCGGGAGCAAAACACACCATGACGGTGTTATTCCATGCTATCGTGAAATATTGGTGATATGCATGGTATGCCCTCCTATACTACTGCGATCCGATAAGCCCGGGCAGCTGCATAGGGTCGCTGGGCCATGGATCCGCCAATGATGATCTGGTTTAACCATCAGGGGGAGAGATGGAGGGAGAGGGATTATTGATCTGATTTTACTTCGTATACTAACCATTAAGAAGAAGAAGAAGGACACCGGCACGTTGGCGGCATGATTGATCTCTCCTCGAAAGCAGCATCTCTTCCTCTCCCCACCCGCGGCGTTTAAGCGGAAACACCATCATTCTGCTGCTGAAAGCGTTCCATCCAGGCATGTAAACCACGGGAAAGTCTGTGCAGGAAACCGGTATAAACTCCGGAAAGAAGTACTACTAGCTATCAAGCCTATGCAATGCAGTGTCTACGTACAGGTAGCCTGTCTGTCTCTGAATACAACGTGAGGCGAGCTCTCGAGATGGGCAACTCGCAGCGTGATCCGATGAGTACTAAGTTTCAAGTGTGGTATACTGGTAGCTGAATTCTTCAGACATTGCGCCGTGGACACTGTGTTTGTTAATTCTTCAGGCTATCAATGATCTGCCTTTTGGGTCTTCTTCTTCATCTTCTTCTTCGCGAGCGGATTAACCGAGCCTGCAATGGATGGCAGGTTTCTGTTCCTAATCCGGATGGCCAATGCTGTCTTTTGACCGTCGCTTTGGGGCAGAGCCGTACTGTATGATTACTCTGTAACTGACAGTGTCGAACGTGTTCATCTCCGTGAAATTTGATGGATACACATCCTGTGCGTTTGTGTTTCTTGCTCTTGTGTTTGTACCATCCGATGTGGTCACCTAATTTCTTCAATCTTGAAATAGCATTTGATCCCACAATTAATAGTAGTATGACATCCCAACTTCTAAATTGTCTTTAAGCAGTTTCTTGATTGCTTCTGGGTAGCTAGCTGAGTTGTCCTTGCATATTTGTATGTTACAGTACATTGCAAGGGAAAAACATACTAGGTTGCTTTCATTAACTCCATTCTTTCAGAAAGATTAACCGTTTTCAGTTCATGAACTAATTGCTCCACTCCATATATTCCCTAGTCCCTACCTTCCTTCTTTCTCTTTGAGAATCTTCAGCGTACTGAGAATAATCAAGACAGAGAAGAAAGCGAAGAGCACCAAGTCATTCTTATCTGTAGTACTTTCTGAAGTTAACACTGCACCCATCATGTACAGTACCAAACTCAGTTTGGTGGATTGGATCAATGCATTCTCCAAGTTGTTCGATTAGGACTTCAGATCCCATCTTTCATTTGCTAATCCACTTGACTACGTTCAAAACGATAATCTGCATGTCTTTCCAAAATACCTAAGGACTAAAAAAAAGCTATATGCATTGCAAACAGGCCATGCTATTCAGACATGCATTTTGGCACTATCTCTGTCCATTATGCGGCCATTTGAACATGTTTCCATGTTCTATGATCTCTCCAACCATGTCCTCTTCATGATATCATTGCATGTATGGACTCACTCAACCATGTACTCGCGACCTCACCATATTCTAGTAGCTCAGACTCAGCCATCAGGCTTGGCATGCTTGTAGACAGCCACCAGCAGCATGCTACGATACAGTTGATAACTGCATTGGACCTCGATTGGACTGCATATGATAGAACATAGATAATGCTTACAGGTTGTTTTGACAGTGACATGGCATACAGTTGAGTGGACAACCGATAATTGGGTCCAATAGTGATTAAGCGAGTAATCTTCGGTCCTTAGCTATGAAATGGACTTGTTGGTCACGACCGTCACTCAAAACAGAAGAACGAAAGAGATTGCTTGTTTCTGTTCTCTGAAAAATTAACGGTGTGTCGTACTGTCCACCTATTGGAATTCTCCCTTGAGGGAAGCTCTGAATTAGCCCAATTGTCTGTCCTACAAATTAACCGAGTACTCTACAAATTTATGTTCTCTATTCGAGTGATTAAGTATGGCTTTAGCTATGGTTGTTAAGAACTGAAATGGACATGGTCGCTTCTGTCACTCAAAACAGAAGAACGCAAGAGATCGCGTGTTTCTGTTCTCTGAAGAATTAACGGTGGGTGATGCTGCCCACTCACACGAGCAACTCTGAATTAAAATTAAGATGGTCAGCTGTATTCTTCCACAAATTCCTACTATATTAATGCCTAATTTAAGCAAGATTTGATGGACTGCGTGATTCACTAAACACAATGCAGAACATGCACGTAAGCACTCGCGAATTCAGAGAAAATGTATGGGAGGGAGCAGATGACATCGGGCCGTGCTACAGGTTGCCTCGGTGTCTCCTGCGCTCCTGCTCTCTAGGCTGCGTCCTGCGTGCGTGCGTGCGTGGCGTGGCTGCCCGTTTCAGGCTTCGACTAGTGGTAGGTGAGGGCGACCTGCGGCGCAACTTTGAAATGCGGCCGTATTGTGGCTCTCAAATTGGCCGAAAAACGGATGGTTTTTTTTGCAGAGGATTCCCTGCTGATTTGTGATTTTCGTCGTGGGTTTTGGGGGGCACGACCAGCGTCCACACGTACCGGAACAAAGTTGTTCTGCTACAGTGTTTCACTATGTCGGCACTCAGCATTCATACAGTGAATTACTGAATCGTACGTTTTTACTTTTTACCTAGTACGTGAGACTATTTTACGGTAGTTTCAGCTGGTAGGAAAAAACGTAGCATAGGAGTTGGACTCATAGCAGGTTTTTAAAATACCATAGATTACCGCTGGATTATCGCGGTTATAGGGTACGTCGACGTGGTCTAATATGCAAAACCACTTGTTATATTAGTTAGGTAAAGAAAAGAAAAGAAAAGAAAATTTGAGTTCTTTTGTTACTTTTCTATCTTAAAATATATAATACTTATACTTCATTTCTCCTATAATATAGCAAGATATAACTGAATGAGACATTTCATAGTAAATTAAATATAGACTGGTATCTCCTTTTAGGTTAGCTTTTTTGAGACAGATAGAGTACTTGATTCATTTTATACTCTATATATCCTAAAATAAATACACGTAGTACGTAATGTGGTTCCATAAAAAAAGTACGTAATGTGATTTATTCTAGTACTATGAATCTAGACTACTTGTCTAGTACTCCACTACGAATCTAGATTCACAGTCCTAAAATACTGCTTGTCCAGATTTGTAGTATATTCTAATACTGACCAAAGTGCACCTGGTATATAACATGACATATTATAGTATTACGAATTCTGGATTGTTACATGTCTAAATTCATAATACCAGGATATATCAAATCACAAATTAGGTATATTTATTTTGAAACAAAGAAAATAGAATGAATCGTATATATGTCCAGATTTATACTATTAATATCCATCCTGAGACAGATATGGAATCCTACGAAATGTTTTATCCGATTATATCATACCAGTATATTACATCATGGCGCCTCCTCTCTCTCTCTCCAACCCGGGCCGAGCCTCTCGCTCCGTACTCACGCACACACGCAGCGGCGCAGCGAGAGAGGAAAGAGAGAGAGAGAGAGGCAAAAACGACACCAACGGGCGGATTTTTAAGTGCGGCCACCTCCATCCTCCCCGTGTCCGCTAGCCCCCTCCTCCCTCCGTTGGTCTCCGCCCACCCAGAGGAAACCACCCGCCCCCGGTCCCCGGAGGAAAGCTTCGGCCATGGCGGCGGCGGCGGCGGCTCGGAGGGGATGCCTGGTCGCGCTTCTGGCGGTGCTCTTCTTGGCCTGCGCCGCTGAGGGGGGTGCGGCGGCGGCGTCGGCGGCGCAGCAGCAGCAGCAGCTACGGCGGCGGAGGCATCTGCTGCGGCGGCAGCGGCAGGTGCACAGCCACCTCAGGCGGCTCAACAAGGCGCCCCTCGCCAGCATCGAGGTAGCGGCCCGTCTCCTCCTCTCCTCTCCTCTCCCACCAACATGGCGCGCATTCAATGCACGCCGCCTTGCTCGCCATCGATTTCCCGTTTCGTTTTTTCTTTTCTTTTCTTGCTCTGGTCGCTCGCTGGTATGGAGGGGCGGAAGGAATGAATCCATGGAGGTGAAAAAAAAAGAAAAGGCGGTGGTGCATTTGGTATGGAAGTCGCAAAAAAAGTTTTGCGCTTTTGATTGATGGGTCGACTTGCTCGTGCTTGGTGATGAGCTCGCTTTGGAAGTGTGGATTGACTGTTCCTCCTCCTCTCATGGACCATGCATTGGGGTTTCTTCCGTTGATGGAGGAAAAGGCTCGCTTTTGGAGGAACATTTTATGGGTGCCCGTGCTTCTTTGGGTTCTCTCCACTTCAAGGGAGGAAAGATATGGTTGCTTTCCTTTCTTTGGAGGAGAACAGACTACAGAGTGTCTTCTTCCTTTTCTTTCTTTCTTTTTTTTCCTCTGAACCATTAACAAATTTTGCTTTTGTTGCTCAAAGATTTCTTCTTTGGAGTATGGTTGATAGTCTACTTCATGGATGTTTTGGATTATCTGAAGTTGCATTGGTTTGATATATGGAATTCTAGAACTTTCTTTTCCTATTTTTTTTACACTACTTTTGCTAAAATGAGATTTTTCCCTGTCTCTCTCAAATCATTCATGTCCTGAATTTAGGATAATGTTTTCTCTTTTTTTTTCTTGCTTTGATTGCATAATTGACAGTGTGAATTCAACAGAGTCCTGATGGAGACATCATAGACTGTGTGCACATCTCCAACCAGCCTGCCTTTGATCACCCTTTCCTCAAGAACCACACTATCCAGGTTCCTCTCTCTCCAGAACACACCACTGCCCCTTTTTTTACAGTTGGGGTAATGCTTCCCCACATATCATGATAACACTCAATGGTGCACTATCACCACCTTTCAGATGAGGCCTGATTACCACCCAGAAGGCCTGTATGATGAGTCCAAGGTTGCATCACAGCAGAACACCCAGACAATCACCCAAATGTGGCACAAGAACGGCGTGTGCCCGGAGAACACCATACCAATCAGGAGGACCAAGAAGGAGGATGTCCTAAGGGCCAGCTCCATCAGGAGATATGGCAAGAAGAAGCACAAGAGCACCCCAAACCCCATGTCTGTCGACCCTGATATGCTCAATGAGAGTGGCCACCAGGTAGGGTAGAGTGTGTAATGTGTTCCATTCAAGAACCAATCTCCCTAATAGTACTTAACATGTTATTGGGATTGTTCATTTAAATCTTGTTTCTGCTCCATGGTGCAGCATGCAATAGCATATGTGGAAGGTGATAAGTACTATGGAGCTAAGGCTACCATCAATGTGTGGCAGCCAAGAATTGAGCAGGCCAATGAGTTCAGCCTGTCCCAGCTCTGGATCTTGGGTGGTTCCTTTGGGCAGGACCTTAACAGCATTGAAGCAGGATGGCAGGTGAGAGGGAGAAGAAAAACCCACTTAGGTCAAAAGTTCTATTAAATGCTTTGTTGCAGCTTCCATTTTTGTTCTTCCATGCGCCCAATTATGAAGCTCATTCCTCCCCTTGCATGCGTCAATAATTCCTGTTTTGCAATAATGATATGGTACACTACGACTGGAGAGGCCTTTCATTTTAGGAGCCAGACTAGATTATATTCGTTTACGAAGATTCTTTCTTTCATGAGCAACTGTTTTAGGAGCTAAGAATGCTGTGATGGCCGATTAAAGCTATATGCAGTACTCTCTTGCATTGTGGCTTATGTCTTTATTCTCTCTACATTATTGCAGGTTAGCCCAGATCTGTATGGGGACAACAACACTAGACTCTTCACCTACTGGACTGTAAGATAAACATCACATTCCTTTCAATCTTCACGATAATTGTTTTTTAGCTTCTTTTTGTCTCTTGTTTAGATCTACATTCCTATCTTGCTGTTATTAAACTACAGATTAGCCTAATGATACTGATTTTTGTATTGCCTCTGTACTCTCTGTAGAGCGATGCGTATCAGGCAACAGGATGCTACAACCTGCTGTGCTCGGGGTTCATACAGATAAACAATCAGATAGCCATGGGCGCTAGCATCTCCCCACTCTCCAACTATGGTGGTTCCCAGTATGATATCAATATTTTGGTCTGGAAGGTAAAATACAAGAAACCTTCACATGCGTGTGTATACACACAGACGAAATTCATGAACGGTGCCAGCGAATCTATGCCCACCTGTTTCTTGTTCTTTCCTGAGGCACCTCCAGGGCTTAAGGTCAAGGCTACAACTGTGGCCCTGGCCTGTTTTGTGGACGCATTCACAGTTGTCCCCCACACACGTACTGTATTTATGCATGCTAATGCAAACACTAATGATTTGAGTTTTAAACAAATTTTCACAGGAATATTCTCCTAGAGCTCATGTTTCTTCTGTTAAAATTTTCCATGTCATTACCATGTGACATTATGTTGGCATGCCACCACTTGCATAACCAACAAGATCTCGCTCCACGTATAATTCCGAAAGTGGGCTATCAAGCTAAAATAATTTAAAACTCGTTTTCATCAAAGGGTAGATCCTTTTCATAGTGCATATAATGAACACAAAAAGGAAAACTTTATTTTTGCGCGTGCATGATAACACTAAAAGGTACCTACAATATTCCCTTATCATTATCCTATCTTCTAACTATGCCCCATGGATTGTGGTTTGCAGGACCCAAAGGAGGGCAATTGGTGGTTGCAGTTCGGTAATGACTATGTGTTAGGCTACTGGCCATCCTTCCTCTTCTCCTACTTGGCAGACAGTGCCTCCATGATAGAGTGGGGTGGTGAGGTGGTGAACTCGGAGCCTGATGGCAGCCACACCTCCACACAGATGGGCAGTGGCCACTTCCCTGAGGAAGGATTTGGCAAGTCCAGCTACTTCAAGAACATACAAGTGGTGGATTCATCAAACAATCTTAGGGCACCAAGTGGTATTGGGTCATTCACTGAGCAATCCAACTGCTATGATGTGCAGAATGGCAACAATGGTGACTGGGGCACATACTTCTACTATGGAGGGCCAGGGAAAAACCCAAACTGTCCATAGTAGAAATGGAAAAATTCTATCCATGCCCCTAACAAACCCTTGACACCTCTGTATTATGCAGTAAATTAGTTTACACCTCTTCTCTTTTTCTCCTCTTGGTTTTTGTTTTGGTTTCACCATTTTCCCACCAGGTTATTAACTTCTAGGTAAGTGTTTGACATGTGAAATTTGTTCTCTTCCTCAGAGATGTTGGTCTGGCTCTTGGGAGGAGTGCGGTCAAGTTTCTGAAGAGAAACAGGCCTGTTTGGTTGGTTGGTTTGTGCACTTGTGCCTCATGTTTTGTCAAATATTTTTTGTTTTCTCCCATGCATGCCTTCAACTTGATTGTTGGAGCCTTGGAGGTACTGCACTTGTTAAGTTGAATTCAATTAATTAAGCTGTTGGTGCATGTGTGTGGCCTTTGGTTAATACCTGTACCAGTATGGGTTTTTCTATCCTGAAAAAAGTTGCTAATCAAGTGCTTAGCTATTGGAATATGTGCAAAGATGCCAACTTTTTGTGTGCTACGTTTGGTGGCCACACTTGGGTCTTCTGGAAAGCGGCATTAAAGTTGGTTAAGCATATGGTTAGACCTGGGACTTGCATTCTGTGAAGGCAGGTGGAGTTCACATTGCAAGCAACAGTGCAAGCACCGCACCATTGCTTCAGCAATCTTCAAGCTCCTGACTATTGGTGGCCACTGATTGATTTGGTTGTGAGCTGCCTAACTGAATTGACATTTTTACTGGTCTACGGTTTGATTCTGACTACTGCTTCTAGTGTAAGGCTTTTGGATTTCAGTGCTCTAGTTGTGGCATCCAGTTCACAAATCACTTGTTCAAGTCTTCAAGATGTAAGGTTTGATTCTGTCCAGCTATAACGCACAAGGTGAGATGGAATTCGGGACGATTGATTTTCTGGCTGGTCATTTGATATGTTTCATGCCAAATAACGGTGGAATGCAGAGCATGTCTGGATAAAAATAGGAGTACTAACCAGATCCGTTGACGGCTGCAATTTTGATATTTTAGTCCTTTTATAAAACTATTTTACAAACTAGTAACATGTCCAAGGGCCAAAGTCATATAATTGAGAATTGGTTGGGTGGATGGTGAGAAAAAAATACTGGATCGGTGGTTATGCTTGTATGTTTTAATGGGCAGACCAATATAAGTGGGATGGGATAGGAGAATAATTAGGAATATAACATTGGATTCGGTGGTTACTCTAGCGAAGCTTACTAAATGAGGGGAGGGGAGGTTTTTAAAGTAGTAAAGATAAACCTCTAAGAACTAGTAAATCGCAGGAATGGATCTTCTGCTCCACAACCGACACTGAACACGAGCTCAGTGCTATTGTTAATGGCTTTCAAGGTTAGCGCCGAGTCGAGGGTCAAATAGTTTTTTTAGTGCCTAGTTCTGAAATAAGTTGTATCAAAGGTCCAAACGGCAAACTTGCTGACTGAGGGAATACCACCAAATGAGCTTCTGAAACATGTGAGCTGCATGATTGTGCGAGGAAAGATGGTTAAGAAAACAAACCACACCAGAAAGTAACCAAAGCAGCATGAGGCTTTTTTATTTACCATGTAATCCGGGCAACATCTCCTCTCCAGCGTTTAGCTCGACAGTAGTACAGTACAGCACAGCCATGGCCGTAGTAGCTCACGAGCACTCACCAAGCTGTCTCAAAAGGGCTATAGAAAGAAAACAAGCTGCCTTCACATGCCACACAGGGGCCCCTGCTTTTCTTTTGGTTGGATTCGATGGAAAATAATTACACCAACAAAATCCAGTCCCAAATTTTTTTCCCAAAAACATCATATCGAATCTTTAGACACATACATGTAGCATTAAATATAGATAAAATGAAAAACTAATTGTACAGTTTGCATGGAAATAGCGAGATGAAACTTTTAAGCCTAATTAGTCTATAATTAACTATAAGTGCTATAGTAACCCACATGTACTAATGACGGATTAATTAGATAATTAATTAGACTTAATAAATTCGTCTTGTGGTTTCCAGGTGAGTTATGAAATTAGTTTTTTTATTCGTATCCGAAAACCCTCATTCGTATCAAAAACTTCTTCCGATATCCGGTCAAACGTCTGATGTAACACCTAAAAATTTTCTTTTTGCGAACTAAACCAGGCCGCAATGCAATGCAATTCACTGCAACTGCAATACTGCATCCATCCATGCATGCATGCAGCTAGTAGCAGGGCTCTCATCACAATCTTTCTCACTGGCTCTGCTGCTGACTCCAGTAGTACTGGGCTACTAGCTGTAGTAGCCAGCTGTGACAGTGGTGAGCATGGATGGTTTCGTGTGTTTGCCCAGAGGACAAGAGGCCACTGTGGTATTCATCAACCTCTTGACGCCTCTCTTGTTTGCAATCGCAGAGCTCGTCGTTTTTCATCCACATGCATAGTGAGATTCTTCCATGGTGATTGTGCCTTTCCAACTTGTCAACTCTCTCTCTCTCTCTCCCTACCAGCGTGCATTGGATGCTGAATTGCTGATGTGTTCTTTTGTTTCGCCCATTTCAGGCTAATTCTCGATGTCTTAGGGGACCTGTGTGTTCATGTGAATTATAGTTAGGCCTTGTTTAGGGAAGCTTTTAGTAGCTGCGGTTTCTTTTAGAATCTCATGCTCCTTCAAACAATACAAATTCTCGCATATATTCTCCAGTTACTTGGAATCTCAAGCCCCCTCCAATAGAGCCTTAACCTTAGAAACTTTTCACAAATGTGTATACTACATGAATTGAACTGTTTTTTTAAAAAAAATGCTCCAAAAGATTAATGCTTGCAAGATGCCTGAAAAGTTTGAGGCTCCAAATGCCAGTTTGGTACTCTGAACTCTGCAGGGTAACCTTCCCCTGTAGCCTGTATAGGCAATGGTAGCAACTAGCAAGGCACCAGCTTTCCAGAGAGGTTGCAATGCAATTGCAATGGGACGAACAAGAACACGACGTACTCGCTAAGGAGAAGTATACGCTGGTTGTCTAGTACTGTACTACTTGGCATACGGCAGAGAGAAAGCTCACCATCTTTCTACTTGGCACAATCTTCTTGTACTTTTCCGTTTTCACTTTCACCGAGTAAATTATCAGGGCTAGGAGGAACACAGCCTTTTCATCATTAAAAGAGGCAGCAGGAGCAGATCAGAGCAGACATTTAGATCTGTAAAGCAATGCAACTGTGTGGATAGCCTGAATTGTTCAGCAGTAGTAGTAATAGTAGTATTTGCGCTGAATTTTTCAGTAGTATTTGCAGTGAAAACCATACGTGTTTACGGTGAAAATGCCAGGAACGGGCCGGCATTGAAGACGATGGGCCAGGAGGCAACGGCGGACGGGGCGGCGCTTGTTTTCTTCTTGCATTGACGCCCATTGCCTGAAAATTTCAACTCCATGTTCCTGAATTCAGAGACAATTTGCACCTTTCCTGCTTCATATGCTCTTGACTTTTGGTAGTAGTACAGTTTTTGATAATTCGGTGAACCTTTCTATTTCAATTGAATCACATAAGAACATAACAGGAAGAGGAATACACATAAAGTTAACTGATTCTTCAGAAATAGGCTGTCTCTCAATGTTCCAACGCTACCAAATGGACAGGTGATTAATACTATCACTGAAGACAAATAAGTCATAAGCCACAACATTTTCTGATACTGCAAGTTTATCATTCTTGAACATCATCATGATTGATGAGTGGCACATGACGCTCACAAGTCACATCACACACAACTATACTAAACCATAGACTATCTAAAGAAAAACTATAAACCATAGACAAGCGTTGGTATCTTTTCAATGGTGCACACACAGGAATTGTGGGGTAGAGTGATCTTTCATGTTGGCTTCTCGTAGCTGTTTTGGTCTCTGAACTCTGAAATCTTACTTCTGATCATCTCCGCCACATGAGGCTGCACAAACATGTGTGTCGGGTCAAGCATGTGCAGGATGAACTTGTCCGAAGCGGGCATTGAAGCATTCAGATTAACAATGAACTGTGCCATCGGTACATCGCTGAAAAAAAGGATTTATGAGTTGATTGTGCAAACTAGATAGAGGTGAAGAAAAATGAGCTAAATTTTATCAATTGTAAAAGGAGCTTACCAGGAGATGAACAACCCCTTTATTGCATTAACCATGTTTTCTGCTCTTTGGAGAACAGAATGCCACCTGATCATTTAATCAGCAAACCACACAGCCATGTCAGTGGAAAATCAGAAGTACTGGAAACCTTCCCCAACAATCAGACTCTAAAACAGTGATGCAGTGATCTTTTAAAGCACGGTAAAAGATTGCAAGTGAGGAGATACCGAGATAGTGGAGATAGAGACCTTACTGCCTTCTAACAAGGATAATTATGAGATCATATAATGACAAGCACCCAACCTATAACTTATGCTTAAATTGCTTACTGCTACCACTCAGGTACATAATAGCAAGGTGTGAGCTATGCTTGAAGAGGCAATAAGTTCAAAGCAATACTACTGGAAGTTGGGTAACTAACAGAAATATGCAAAACACTGGAGTGGACAGTGATTTGTGCTCCCGTGCCAATGATACTTGCGATACAAACACAGAAAGTGAACCAGCAGTATCTTTCTTATCTTTTCTGTGCAACACATGCCCTCACTGTGTGTATACAATGAGACGACGACAAATTTATTACTCCATCTTAGGTACAAAGCTACAAAATTCCATTAGTTAAAGAAACAGTTAACGCTAGCAAATTAGTTTTACAGGACGATTTAGCACGTTGCGATTTTCGACCTCGGGGAACTATCTCAATAGGGCAGGCGAAAAAAAATCAACAGGCTCAAATTGCATATTGATTGTTGAGATAAAGTAGGGTTGCATCGGGCAGGGTAATCCAATGGAAGAAATACACCACACTGGTCGTAAACCTTGCAATATATTTCACGAGCAAGCATAAATCAGTAGCTCAGTACGAATCCTCCCTAGAGATCTAGAAGTTCATCTTACCTTTGTCGCCTCCCTGTGCTGTTGTCTTCTCTAGCACCGGTGCGTCGTTGTACGGAGCGATACGAGCAAACCGGCGAGGAACAAGGAGCCTGCAGCGGCGGCGGCGGCGGCGCGCGGCTCAGGGCGGAGGATCGGAGGCGGAGGTCAGGCATAGGGTTCCGACCAACCTGCTGGTCTTGTTTGGATGAATCGGGCCAAGGTTACCCCGTCTAAACTAGGCCCAGATGTAAGTGGCCTTTCGGCCCGGCCCAAACTATCAAAAAATCTTAACAAGCAAAATGCCATCAACAAACACAACATTTAAAAAAATGCTATTCTACTAGTCAACTTATTGCTATTAGTATTAGGGTTCCATCCAATCCCCGCCGTTAAAATGTGATAGGGTTAACAGAGTGACATGGTTGGAATCATAACGGATTAACGGTGATAGCATTTCTAGGATAAGTTGGCGCATGATAACATTTTCTAAAAGTTGAGTTCGTCGGTCGATGGTATTTTTTGAAATACGGTTCTTGTAATGGCAATTCATGGATTTTTCTCAAAAATTAATATAGATGAATTCACCCTATGGGCCGGTCCACACCACTGTGATGATGTTTCTGAATCCCACCCCTTTGGGCTCAAATAATGACAAGAACAGTGGCCAGAGAAGCTGCCGCAAGTTGGGTGAATCATCCTTTCGTATTTGTACAAACTACAGATAATGCTCCAAAGAACTACAGATAATGATATGACATACTTGTTTGTCAGAAAATGTTTGCTACGTGGTAGCACATACGCTCTTCGCTATAGTAGGCTGAAATGAATTAGGAGTAAGAAATAAATGGCAAGCATCTGGGGACGGGCAAAAGAGAGCTTCAAATCATCAGTCAAGCGGTCAAAACTTCAGTAGATCTGCATTGATCGTCGGCTGGTTGGCTCGGCTTGGAGGTAAAGTCCGAAATCCATCAAGAAGTTGGCTCAAGACTCAAGAGTAGTCAGATGGTCAAGAATGAATCTCTTCTCCGGCATTCTGCAGTAGTACCAACGGTGCCACCCAAAAATCATTCTATGCTGCCACTTGCCGATACTTCAAAAGATGAAGCCATGAAAGTAAAGCTCATTTCTGCGGTTGTGGTTTCCCAACTGAATGCAGATATACGGAGACAGAAACAACCCTGAAAATTATAGCATGAGCTGATTACTATCATGGGTTACAGGGGCTCCAATCAAGAGAATATGTTGTTCACTTCAATAAGCACTTACGTAGATCCGAGGAAGAAAGCAAGGGATAGATGGAAGCCAAACAAAAAGACAGATACAACTGCTGTAAGAAGCATGGCAACTGAAGTTGAGTACACCTGCATTACAGTTATATGTCAGACAAATGTCTGATGAAAAGATGCGTAAACATTACAGTGTTATCAAAATATTTTCAGCAGACAGTAATTGGTGTGTAAATCAAGTCAGTCTTTGAAGCTGCATCAATAATTATACAAGAATCTTCAGTTGACATTTTATGAAATTTAGTTATACATGTGCCTCACGTATCACAAGGTTTTGAATCCAAAAGAGAGGCTTGTGCATTATAGTTATCTTTTTTCAACAGGATACAATCAACCATCCAATGTCCTGTTTAGAGGCCTGGATGATCTGTTCACTAAAATAGCTCCTCAGACAGGTATGGAATATGGAATGGCATAGTTTCTCATATATCAGAATGTAGAAAATGTAAGTATAAAGAATAATTCACCAGACAGGCATGCGCATGGACACAACACAATAGAAGATGTTGTTAAGGTGTTATTAAGGAATACAGAGATGTATAAAACAAAATGTGCTTTGAGGTGTAATGTATAGTAGACTGTAAGCGATTCAGGTAAGGCAAAACAGCCGTAGTGTTGAATAAAATGTAAGATGTATTTCACAGTCCAGAATTACTTAAACTCGTAACAGGACATTCACAATAGGAAGATGCAAAATATCTCTATTGGGCATAATCCGCTGAGAAAAGAATATACAAATGCAACATGGTTGAATTCTAAGACCATATAAATGCAACATGGTTGAATTCTAAGGCCATACAAATGCAACATGGTTGAATTCTAAGCCAGCTTTAGAAGTTCAGCATTTGTACCTTGACAATATTGTCAGCATATTTCATCACCATTGATACAGCAATGCCACTGCAAAGCAAAAAAAAAGTAAAACAATACAATGTGGTATATAAACCTCAAAAGAGAGCAGACAAAACAGGATCCAGCTATTAGTACCTGAGTGCATGATTAAGAATCATCAAAACAGTAATGAATGAGTAGCCATGAAAAAAACCTCTGCATTAGATTGCACAATCAAGTTAAAATGGCTGATAGAATGAAACATATCAAAATATTAGCATGAGTAGATAGATTTTGTCAGAACAAACTTATTCATGACAGCATCGAAGTCCTGAACACAAATTGCAACTAAATTGAAGAGCATTCCAAAAATGTACAGCCAAAAATTCTGCACATTGATGTTTCTTGAAGGACGTTTCTTGATGATTGCCTGCATTGGTCAAACACGAACAATCCACATCAAATAAATCTTCGTAAAGTCAGGTAAATATAAAAGGGGCAAATAACAGTGTAGTAAAGTCACTTACTTCTGTGTATACCCCCGCAAAACCACTTAGAAGAGCCATCACCTGCAGAAGAAAGCACTTCCATTAATTCCATTGGTGGAGTAAAAAACACATCGTGTAACATTTGTAAATAACTGACTGATTATTTCCAATCCTAGTGACTCACAATTGCCATCACCCAACCTTGAATAGGGGTTTGCAGAACATGATCTGACCTGGAAAATAACAAATTATTTTAGTAATTGACCATGATGTTTTGAAGAAATATGAATATTGTTAAGAATGAACACAGACGAATCATAACATATTTTGCTTACGAGGGGTTCAGCTGGGCTGTAGTGCAACCGGCACATAAAAGAATAAATGCAGCCCACTGAATTTCACTTAACCTGGAAAGAACACAATACATTCAGCACATCGTGAAGAGGAAATTGAAGTAATTTAGATTTTAAAGCACATCGTGATTATGAAGGTCAGGTAAGAAGGCTAAGTAAACTACCGGAACATTTAGCATGCCAAAATAAAATGTTCTAAGTAATATTAATATCTCACCACATCTGCTAAACACAAAACAGCACAAAGAAATCAAGCAGTTTTTTTATGATATGTTTGTGTGGCTCTACTTACAATGATGAAATTTATAGTGTGCAATTGAACTTTAGTACATGACTTTTGTGATATAAATATAGCACCTTTCTGGCAGATTTATATCCAGCTATATATTCCCAACTTCAAGGTTGATGTTGATAAAGAATAATGCAACATTTTCCAGTTGGTGAGCAGGTAAATTAACATTTTTTTTCAGAGTTGCCGATATGTTAGGTTATAACCTTGAATATTCTGGAGAGTGGAAAGCTTACTTTTTCTTTAGAATGATGCGGTATAACACACCCGTGCTAATAATGTTCAGGTTCTTCAGGATTTGATAAGCTGGTGCATCCACATATGCAAAGATGTAATACTGACAGGTAGCAGGAAGTGGAGAAATGTATCAAACACTTTCTATTGTGAACAGAAAAATACTTTTAGCATGAAAGAACTGGACAACTGAACATACCTGCAGTAAATTCTTTACCATGTAAAGTATGGCAGGAATAGGATAAACACTAACTTCATCAAACGATGTACTTAACCTGAAAACTTGACAACAAATTGCTAAAGAGTAGGATAAAGACAACAAACACTAGCATGAAATTAAACAGCAGCTTATGATAGAATCATCACCTATTATCTTCTGTAACACCCTGACTGTTCCATGTTCTGTACAGGGCTATGAGAGATAACAGACATTTTAAAGCTTCCACCTATACATATATACAAAGGAATACATTCTTATACCAATAGAAACAAAAGAATGGTCCTGGAGGTTGGAGGTACTGTCACCAGTCACCAAGCGGAATTTGTGAAATTTTCCTCACCGAAAAATTTGCCGTAGTGACACTATATTCATATTTTCCAGCTCTTTTCGACCACACAATTAGTATTGCCTGAGAACTTGTTAGTAATGTCAATGCAAGTGTAACAATGGACCTGCCACAACGCATTACTAATAAATCAATTGATTTTCACAAGTATGCTATTTGATGACAAAGATTGCAATAATTAAGTCTTACTTTAACTTCCAACTATTCTTGCCCTTTGAAGCTCCTGCTGTGCTAAGACTGGAGGTTGCTGAAGCTGTAAATGGTAAGATCATAAGGATATTGGAGTCCTGGTTATGGATATCAAAAGAAAAAGTTTCTATGAGGAATCGACAACTTACTGCTAGAAAGAGACCTCTCACCAGGGCTTTCTATGTCTTTCTGAGATACAACATCATAGCTCTCCTTTAGACAGTACAGCAGATACATAACTTGTTAGCAAACAGAACAACAGCTGAAGTACAAGCTTAATTGCAATGCTCATGACTCCAAACATATATGGTTGAATATATTTGCCAGATTGATGATTATCAGCACCTGCTTGCCAAACATCAACAGAACTAAAAAGACCAGGCAAATCTAAGTCGAATTTCAAGTTTAAACCACAGAGCATCTGCCAGGTTTGGCCACTGACAGGTGATTGAAAGCACCACCAGTTTCCCAAATCACAATCACCAAACTTGCCGTTATCTATATCTTCAGTTTACTATTTACAATACAGGAATTAAGCATTGGTCACTTTACTACTTACTACTTCCTCCGTCCCATAATATAAGGGATTTTGAGTTTTTGCTTATACTGTTTGATCACTCGTATTATTAAAAAAATTTGTGCAAATATAAAAAACGAAAAGTTGTGATTAAAGTACTTTGGATAATAAAATAAGTCACAAAAAATAAATAATAATTTCAAAAACTTTTGAATAAGACGAGTGGCCAAACAGCGCAAACAAAAACTCAAAATCCCTTATATTATGGGACGGAGGGAGTACCAGTAATCAGATAAATTGTCTTAAATCTAAAAATGCGGTTGAATGACCGCTACATTGTTAATAACAATATGAACTAGTAGTCACTATCCTGTTTCATTTGCTACATTTTTTTCAGAGTTCAAAACGATTGGATTACAAAAGCCACCGTCTCACTGACATCAAGAGCCGCAAAACGCCCGAAAATCCGGAAATTCTAGAACCCTAAGTGAGGAACAGAAAAGGGCCAGCGAAAATCGCAAAAAGGGAACACCCGTTGCAGCGATCTAATCTGGAGGCGCGGACGCATCAGCGCGAGTGGCATTCCTCTCTCTCTCTCTCCATTAGGGTTGGGCGGGACTTGGGGTTGGTGCTTACCTGGTCCTTCACTCTCCTGTACTCCATCTCTTCCTCTCGACTCCCCACCTCGTCCCCGCCGCCGACGCCGCTGCCGTCGCCGCCGCTGCGGGTTGCTTCCACGGGGAGGAAGGAATCGGCGGGAGGCGGAGCCGGTGACGTGACGGAGGCTGAAAGGTGGGCCCTCCTGCGCGAGCAGAGAGCAGTAAAGGAGCACGCGGCGAGGCCGCGAGGGTGGCGACTGGCGAGTGAGGGAAAGGAGCACGGCGTGGCTGAGGAGAGAGGTAGCAGATGGGACCCACAAGAGGTACTTTTTTTCACATAAGCCCCTGTTGTATATAATTTATTTACGTAAATCCCATTTTGCTTGTAAGATGATGATAAAATTCCTTCAGCTCTTGATCTTGGGCCTTGAGGTGAAGGAGAAAGAAAAAGCTTGTGTTAGACCTTAAGCATAAGATACTCCCTCCTTCCCTAAATATTTGCCGTCGTTGACTTTTTTAAACATGTTTGACCATTCGTCTTATTCAAAAACTTTTGTGAAATATGCAAAACTATATGTATACATAAAAGTATATTTAACAATAAATCAAATGATAGGAAAAGAATTAATAATTACTTAAATTTTTTGAATAAGACGAACGGCCAAACATGTTTAAAAAAGTTAATAGCGTTAAATATTTTGGGATGGAGGGAGTATATATTAAGTTAATACAAGTGTAATCATTGTTTTAAGGTTACATTTTTCATATACGTGGCTGTTCTAATGGTAGCGGTACTGCTGTTTCTCACATAATCTCCTGTTTTGGGTTGAAAAAATTGGTAGAGATCCAAATATGTTACAAATCAGTCCTTGATCCGGTCGGGGGTTTCGGCTCCACGGCTGCGCTCTGTTCGCTGACACCGACGGCCGCTGCTCGTATCATCGTCTGATTTGCACCTTCTCTTGCATGCAAAAATTTCGGGCTGCTATTGATAATTGAGTATTAGAGGCTGCTGAAACATATGTTATCTTTGTCTGCGCTCCAATGGAATTCATAGTATGTAATTGTAAGCTCTATCCTGTCGTTTGAGTTGAAGAAAAGTTTTTTGACATGTTATATGCAGTAGTCATGTTCCATGTTTCTTTGTGATTATTGCCCTGTTAAGATCCCACTCTAAAATTTTACACATTGTCACATCGAACGTTTGAACACCTGCGTGAATTATTAAATATAGTCTAAAAAATAATTAAATGCATATATTGCGACTAATTTGCGAGACGAATCTTTTAAGCTTAATTTCTCCATGATTTAACAATATGGTGCTACAGTAAAACATTTGCTAATGACGAATTAATTAGGCTTAATAAATTTGTCTTGCGGTTTACTAACGGATTCTACAATTAGTTTTTTTATTAGTATCCGAACATCCCATGCAACACCCTATATAATATCCGATGTGACACGTCAGAAACTTTACACTCATGGATCTAAACATCCTCTATGGGGCTTTTTCTACCTATGAGGCCTCATATCTACATCTTGCTGATTTATTGGAAATTTCTTACTGTCATTTTTATATTAAATGCTGGATCATGAATATGATCACTTCGATGAATCCTTTGTGACAGTTTCATTTCTTTTCAGTCTCTTCATGGCATCACTTGTAGCAACACTCGCATTTCTGTTGTATGAATATGATTGTTGCCTTGTTAAGAGAGAGTACTAGTTGTAAACATCGTTGCCGGCTAGGGGTGAAAACGGTATGAAAATTTCCCAACCATATCGATATAGTTTCCACAAAACTAATATAATAATAACATTTTTACCAATGGTTACCGTTTTTAAAATTTAGTTTTTTTAATTTCTATCAGCGTGGCATTGAAGTTGGCACTAAATAGATAAATTCATAAATATGAAAATTTCCCGACCGTTTCCGTTCGTTTTCGAGAAAATAATAAAATAATGATACCATTTCTGACCGTTTTCATTCCTAGCTGCCGCGGAATACCAGCAAGCAACAAAGCAACAATTCCGTGATGGGAGGAGCGATGTGGGTGAGTAGAGCAGTAGAGATCCAGCAAGGCAGCAATCACTCAAACTCGAGAAAATGGACATTTGGCCATGTTCAAAAAGTAGTTTTGCTGAAATGCTATCCCAAAAACACATTTCGCTAGCATTTATGAGAGATGATGGTAGCTGCATCTGCAGACTTCCAAAGTTCCAATAAGACTTAAGACAAGTAAGAAATGTACACACGGTGGAGCGTTTCAGTGTAAATAATATACAAGTAGATTGGCATCTGTTCGGTGTTAAGCTGTGGCATTGTGATATATCATGTGTAAAAACATGACATTTCCTAGATCAGAAAAAACTCATCGAAAAGGACATCTTTATTTCATTTACAAGGACAAAGACGTCCCTTTCTAGAACAGGACATTCATTCAGCAGAAGACGATGAGGCTTTTGCAGCTTGGAGCATTTCCACAATAAGTGTCTTAACATCCCTATAAAAGAACAGAAAAAACAATGTAGTCAGTCTCAAGATATCTATATTTGAAATAATCATATCATAGACATTAATTATAAAGTATCATTCGGACGTTTAGATAAAAGGCTTAAGAGAACGCAGTGCAGGACTGCGGGGACTCACTTCCTGTCCTGTGCACGCCTAGGGAAGGGGATACGCAGCTTCAGAACACTTCCATCATAGCCCGCCTGGACAAATGCAAAAGCTTATATTAGAAGTTCAGGGTTGGCTTTTGATTGAGTGGACACTGCAGCACATTAAGGTTCAACGAGATATGTTCAAAGATGTATAGAACTAAGTGTGTCGTTATAAAGCCAATGAGGGGCTCCAAAATTCAAGGTATCTATAGGTATTCTTTCCTTAAACTGTAATGCTATCAGGATTCAGGAAGCATAACCTTTGCTTTCAGAATCTTATCAAGTTCTAAATCTTATTGCTTTGTTGATTGTTCGTCGTTGAAGCATTGTTATCATTGTATCAAATGTAACATCAGTATTTCATATATTTGGTTCTTTGGTTGCAGGCTTGCAGCATTCCAGCATAACATCTATGTAATTTCATATAGTATAAGAGTAGGACAAGGAATTTAAAGAGTTACCTTCACATTGAAACCAAGACTATCCACATCAAGCATGTAAGCAAAGTCCACCTGAGATGGTTTATCTTTTTCAACACAGTACATAGAAAAAAAAAGAACATTCTGTCTAATATATAAGGTATAATAGTGTATAAACTAAAAAGACAACAGATAAGAGTAACATAAAGCATAAATAGGTGTGTTTTGGGGGGGAAAATAAGACAGGCTCCTGTTCCACTACTCCACACTATTGTGATCTGGATATGGTTCAAGAGTACTGGCAAAGTGATGTTTACAGGCCTTGCTGGCAAAAGTGTGCACATCATGTGCATGCTATAGAATTATAGTTCTTGTTGCTAACACTAAACTGGATACACAAAAATATCAGCTAGGCTACAAAATAAATGGTATAAATTTGTTGGACCCAAACTACAGAACTGGGTAATCAACCCCCTCAACTCTCAACGCCTCCCTGGCTTCCATTCCCATGAAAAATTGAGAGCATCTAGTTGTGTGGCTATGCATTGCTAAATCTGATCATTGCGCAACACCAGGATAGGTGATAGGGTGTGGTCGTGTGGGTTCAGGACATCAGGTCATCAGGTCGCGCTTAACTTGAGGAACTTCTGGGTGAGGTTATAGACAGCACTCTTGTGAATCCATCCTACATCAGCTAGCCATGGTTTCTCAGTTACGGAGTAGGTCTTCCCTAAAAAAAACAGCAACAGTATGTTTGAACCCAAGAGTGTTTTCCTTTTCCCAAACTAAACACACCAAGATGACTGAATACATGCCATTCAGTAATAACTTAAATAGTTAGTTGCGGAACAATAGCTCAGCAAATGTGATTTGCCTAAAATTTTATGCCAAATAACATTTGCGACTAAAAACTGTACATAAATTTTCTTGTTTACTTGCCTTGACAGTGGTTGAGTATTGCACAATGAGCTTTGTATCATCAGAATGATCCTTATTCATGTGGCTCTGCATGGAATTAAAATTTAACATAATTACACTAACGATTGGCATATCTACGGTGATGCCCCTTATTGATGGAAAAAGGAAACAGAATGTGGACACACCGTAATAGGGGTTGAGAATTGAGATATTGGGTCCACTTTTGCCTCCTTGAACTCAGCAGCACTGAATTCTGGGGATGTTTCACAATAGCATTAAAATCAGGCACCATTATCATCAAACCATTTGTCATGGTTTCTATTCTTGTACAAATACTAGAAGTGGAAACACAATAGAGGAGCATGGCTACTCAGCATTCACAAATAAATGAGCAAATAAAAGGTTGATTAGATATCGAACCCTGAAACCTGGTTCTTATAAAGGATAACCTTCACTTTTCAAACAGTGGCTCAACTAGGGCAATGAAGAAGGCAACATACCTCCAGAACCAAGGATGGCAGTTGCAACCCCAGACACATATCGCACGGCTTTTGGCTTGATGTGCAGAAAACGGAAGTCACCAAAATCAACCTTATTTGGCATTTTTTTTCATCAGAAATCAGTACTTCATAAAACAACATGTGCTTCCAAAATAATAAAATTGTCCACATAGCATACCCAAAATGCCTCAGGATGTCTTCGTAAGTATGCACTTCGTACTGCATCTTTTTCTTGGTCTGAAACCTTTCAAACATAATACAAAGACCAACAGATCTATATTTGTTACGTAACATGAACAATATGATATAGGAAAGTGTCATACAGAAAAGAATCAAGGGTATAGGCAGGCCAGTATCTGGAGCATTACAGGTGTGGCATCACCATATACAGTAATCACAGTATCTGTTCTGTCCTCAGGGTCTTTGGCAACCAGAAGCGAGCATTTAGGATTTTCAGAGAGATTCTGCAAAAAAAAAAAAAAGTATCAGAATCCAAGAAGCTTGCATCAAAGGAAAAACATGACAATGAAAAATTTTCCAGCTGGACTGGTGGTGAATGTAGAGTTGCAGTACTATTTTCATATCACTGCTAGTGGTCATGCATTTTACATCTGTATGCATATTTAGTTATTTACTTTGCATGTCCAAACATCTATGCCAATGTAGTAATAGCGTTATTGTGTGTATGTACAGGGATATCCATGCATGGGAAACAGTGAGTATATAGTTTTATCATGTATTCAAGATCATAAAAGCGAATTATATCTTACCTTTGAGTGAATTGCTAAACTACTAACTGCTAATATGGGGGAACCATCCTGATCACATGCAAAATCAACCATTGAACCAGACGGATAGCCAACATGACCCTGTAACAAAATAGCATGTTATTCCATGCTCTTGAGGATTGCCCTGTACATGGCAATACAACCACTACTCATTAGTCTACAGAATACCTGAGAATGGGTGGCAAGGACACCCCTAACACTTTGGTCCAGAATGGTCCGTATTTCTTCAACCGGAGGAAGTCGAGCAGCTTTTTCCTACGATAACAAAAATCTTGTTTGAGTATGGACCATCGAGAAATGATAATGATAAAAACTAAAAGATAGATCATTGAAGTTGAAGGTTTCCCTTCTGACAGTTCCACACTTGTTCCGCAAGTTGATTGCTCAGACTCTTGCAGGAATTGACAAGGGAAAGGTTTGCAAAAGCTCAGTTGGTGGTGTTGTGGCTAGTAAACAATTGGTTCTCTGTAGGTCTAATTCTTGTTATGGAAACTTCTTCATGTAATTGTTAATTATTGATGCGATGCCTACTTGTTGCAACATTAATTTGTTGAAACATTCACACACAGCAGAGTAGCAGACAGCCTCCAACCCTGTTTCACAATACCATAACTAATCCTTCCTGGGAATATATTTGACGTTTGACTTCTTAAAAAGAAACTGACTGTATTACATTTGTACATTTACCAGGCACGTTGTCCTAAATTTGTGGAATCTCCGGGACACTACTGACCCAGAACAAGTCAATTTGTGTTTTTTGTATGTTGCATATAGGGGTGAAAACGGTCACAGAAATTACCGATCGACCGGGCGCCGTTTCCGTTTAAGGGTACTGTTTCCGACCGTACCGTTTTTGGCTATTTTTAAATTTTATTTTTTCCTAATTTCTTTCTGCATCATATTAATGTCGATACTGTGTAGTTTAAATGATAAATATGGTCAATTACCGGCCGATCAAGCATCGTTTCCGAAGAGATGCTAGCGATTCCAACCGTTTCCAATCGTTTTCACCCCTAGTTGCATAAGCTACTGCCTGGTTAGGTTCCTCGCTCCTCGGGGACATCACAAACAAGGAGTGAGGTGTCCAAGGAATAAAAGGGCGATCACGATGCTAAGGGCCGCACCTGGTGAGCGCGGATCACCTCGAACGCGTCCGCGGATCCGCCCGGTGCATCGGCAGGCGCCGCCATCTGCAACGCAGGGAAAAAGCGGCATCAGCCAGAGTCACAGCCATATTCACCTCGGGGGCATTCCGTCGAACACCTGGTCCGCAACCACCCCCACAAGACAGGCCAAACAAGAGCTGGGGCGCGCAAGCCAGACCTGAGAGGAGGAGGAGGAGGAGGAGGCGATGAGGCGGCCGCCGCGGAAACCGTCGCGAGGAGGACGGAGGAGAGGGGGCAATAGGCGGTTGGAGGAGGAGGAGGCGTGCGCATGGTGGCGACCGCTTTGTAGGCGGAGCAGCCGCGAGAGCGTTGACGGCGCCGCGGCCGCGAGCCGCGCGGCCGGCGTGAGCAGCAAGGGCTTCATCTGCGTTCGCGTGCACGCGTCTCTCTAGCCGAGGCCGTGAAGCGAGGCGTTGCGTGCCGCCTGCTGGCGTGCGTGCGTGAGACTGTGAGAGCGGAGTGAAGCGATGCGGTGCCGGTGAAGCCTCGTCTGGTTGCCGCTTGGTGGTGGCTCGGCCACGGCACGGCGTTGGCGATGCGCTTGCGGCTGCGGGCGCCGGGTGGACGAAATGGCCCAAATAGCCAGCCTTGGCATCTGTCAACTTGGCAGGCCTAATAACCCAGTGATACGAGGATGAATGGGCTGGTGACCATTAGCCCATTGCAAGTATGCAACTGATTGAGTATTTGTACACTGCAAAATAACAAGTCTATTTTACCTCCTCGTCTCTTTCTCATGACTGTCACTCAACCGCAAAATCGGGTATACCGAGTTTCTGACATGTTTTCCTAACCAAAATGCGTATTCCACAGCGACCGATCACTCGTGTTGGCAACGTACAAATTGCAATGCACAACTTGCCTAATCCCAGTATCACACGACTAGACGAGCATCTGACATCGTACCGTGTTTTCCTAACCAAAAATGCGTAGTATTCCACAACGACCGATCATTCGTGTTGCATTGGCAATGTCCAAAATGGCAACGCGTTCTACCACTTTCTACGGTTCGTTCAACCCCCAACATCCAACCCAAGCACAGAATCACTACGACTCCCACGAGCTTCCCCTTCCCCTCCCTCCATCTGGCGCCGGTCACGGTCACGGCCTCGGCGTGCGTCCAGTCGAAGGAGGAAATGCAAAGGCGGTTAACCACGCGCGTACCCCGCGTCACCCCACGCCGCAAAAGCAACGGACAAAGAGAGAAAAATAGGAGTAATAAAGGAGAAAACGCAATTGCAACTGGACGGCAGCAGGAGTGGTACTTATACGACGAACCTAACGCGTGTTCGTAATGGTTGCCGCAGACTTTTTGCTTCCGAAGAATTGAATTGTTCTTCGTCCACGACCTTCCAGAGGGATCGAAATCTTGGAGTTGGAGGACGGCATTGTGTTGTGCTGGTGGTCTGGTAGGATATTATTCCGCTCTGCTCGTAGAAAAAACTGACGTCTATTTTGTAGTTTTTCGACGCGTCCGTCCGTTCGTTAGCACGTTGCAATCAGGGTTAAATCAAATTTAGACCCGGATTTCACTCTGAATTCCATGCGCGAACTACTGGTGAATGTACTACACGAGAGTGTCGCGATCGCAGCAAAGCAAAAAATCGTTGGCCTTCTTGGAATTTTCAGAGGGGGAGGGGAATGGGGGAATGGACAAAAGAGAAGGAAGGAAGGAAGGATGGCCGGCCGCATTGCTGAATTTAGCTTTGACAGCTAATTTCGTGGGGGGCCATTTGGCAACTGTCACGCCAGCTGTTCCCACTAGGCTGGCCTTCTTCCCCCATGAGTCCTTGCCCCCCTTCACTCTTGATCTTCTGAATCCATCTTCGTGCAACCTGAGCTGGGTTTTGCTTCTTTGTTGTGTATAGTCTCATTGTTCCGCTACAGTTGATTATAAGTTGTAATGCATGTTTCTCTCAAATAAAAAGTTGTAATGACTATTACTCCATCCGTCCCTAATATAAAGGATTTTGGATAGATGTGACGCATTCTAGTACAGAGAATTTGGACAAACGGTTTATCTAAATCTATTATATTATTAAAGGAATAGAAAAAGGAGCCTCCACGTTCGCTCTCACGGCCTAGAAATTCTCACATTAATCGGAGAAAAAGAAAAAACAGAGTCTATATAGAAATACAATTTAGAAATAGCTGAAATTCGGAATCAAAAAATAAGGAATATTAGAAGAGGAGACTAGAGTCCATATAAAAATACAATTTATAAATAACTGAAATTCGGAATTAAAAAATAAGGAATATTAGAAGATGAGACTAGAGTCCATATAGAAATATAATTAGGAAATAACTGAAATTCGGAATTAAAAAATAAGGAATATTAGAAGTAGAGTATAGAGTCCATGTAGAAATATAATTAGGAAATAACTATATAATTAGAAAATAACTGAAATTCGGAATTAAAAATAAGAAATATTAGAAGTAGAGTATAGTCCATATAGAAATACAATTAGGAAATAATTGAAATTCAGAATTAAAAATAAGGAATATTAGAAGTAAAGTATAGAGTCCATATAGAAATACAATTAAGAAAAAAATAAATTCGAAATTAAAAAAATAAGGAATATTAGAAGTAGAGTATAGAGTCCATATAGGAATTTAAAACTAACTAAAATTTGGAATAAACATAATGAAATTAAAAGTAGAGTTTAGAGTCCGTATAAAAATACAATTTACAAATAACTAAAATTCGAAATTAAGAAAAATATGGGAAGAAGAGTTTAAAGTCAATATAGGAATACAATTTAGACGTAACTGAAATTCGAAATTAAAAATTAAAGAATATTGAAAGATGAGTTTAGAGTCCACATAGAAATACAATTAGAAATAATAAAAATTTAGAAATAAAAATAAATAATATTGGAAGAAGATCATAGAGTCTATATAGAAATACAATTTACAGAAAATTCGGAATTAAAATAATATATTAAAAGACGAGTATAGAGTCTATATATGAATATATATAATTTACAAATAACTAAAATTTGATATTAAAAATAATTAATAACTAACAAGTATATAAAATACAATATGAATATTACACATTAGTAGTTTTGTAAAGTTATTGCAAAATTTAAAATTATGTTGTCATTTTAATATATTTAAATAATATAATGAGAAAATATATATACTATTATATGATAGAAAATATAATGATGCTAGCCGCGCAATCTGCGCAGGCCACCATGTTAGTTTATTATACTGTGATATATTACATCATCCAAAATCACTTATATTATGTTGTACATATGTTCTTAATGACATAGAAATCAATGTTGAAAAATAAAATACCATGAAAAACTTAAAAATCAATTTTAAAATTCAAAATATGATTGGAATGACAAGATGAAGAGCAAACGATAAAATAAGCCCTTATCGCGCTCTTTTTATGCGGAATGGTTAAATACATGAATAATTTGAGATAATTGTTTGAAGATTAAAAAAAACTTAATGCATTAACTATTATAAAAGTTGAAAGAAAAGAATGTAAAACATTTTTTTAAAGAATTCATATATAGTTTTTTTTAAAAATACCATTTAGAAGTTCGATAAAGAATGTGTGTTTGTTGATTATTCCACTAGGAAAAAAAGGAGACAGTAAATCAACACGTGATTTCTTTTTTGTTAGCCAAATGATTTCTACGTTATAGTATTGCAAAGACTTCTAAAAGGGTTAAAAAAAGGCCTTTGCTAGTTGTCATGTTACCGTTGCTTAAGCGTCCGTTATAGTCAACGTGTCTAAAAGAAACTATAGTTCTCACCTCTCAATGGACTGTGAACAGTATTCTCTAACTCAAAAAAAACAAGATTCACATCGACAGCAAAGAACGAAGCATGTGCACTCGTGGTGCACATTGATGATGAACAGCTACTACAAAAGCCTGGAAAAAAGAAGACCACCACAAACTTGGCCACGGTTCACGCGAGCGAGCAGAGCAGACGACGACGATGCGAGACGCGCGTGCATTGGCCAGAGAGGATCCCAACCGGCAAGTCGGCAACCGCAACGCCCCACCACCAAACCCGCGGAACCCAACAAACGGCCAGCCGTGCGCCGTGCGCCTCTCCCCGTCGGTCTCCCCCGCCAACCCGACCCCATCACCCCTACGCGTACGACCTACCCTAACCTGCCCGCCTATATAAACCCCCGCCTCCTCCTCCACCTCCACCTCCCCACAAGCCGCCTCCTACTACTACTACCCATCTCTCTGCTTCTCGCCAGAAAGATCTAGAAGTCGAAGCCCTAATCCTCTTCCGAGTTCCGAAGACAATGGCCGGTCTCAGGATGAAGGCGCTCGCGGTCGCCGCCATCGCCGCGTCCCTCGTCGCGTCAGCGGCAGCCGACCACGCGCCGGCACCGGCGCCCGTCTCCGACGCCGCCCCCGCGGTGCCCCTCGCGGCCGCCTCCCTCGCAGCCGCCGCGTTCGGCTACCTCTTCTGCTAGATCGATCCCCTTCGATCTGCCTCGGGCTGATCCGTTTCGTCGTCGTCGTGTGCGTGTCTCCGTCGTCGTGTGGTCGTCGCGTGGGGGGGATTTGTGTATGTAATTAATGAGTCGGCGGTGGTGTGAGGGAGGGAGGGTGTGGTTTCGCGCCATTTCTCTGTGGCGGCGGCCATGTACTTACTCTTCTTTTTTTTTTATTTGTATGAATTGAGATGATTTATTTGATTCTTTTCAGTTTAAAGAACATGAGTATCGCGTACTACATGGTGACACTTGTATGATGTTGATTGTCATCTATTGGCCTATCGTTTAAAATATATCATACGGGAACTAACGAGAGATTAACAATTCAGACCATAAATATAAAATCTCTCCTGCACAAACGTTCACCACTCCAAACTGTGCTATGTTAAATGAACGACAGGGTAGTACAATCATCTTCAAGATTGTAATTACCTCGTAGTTACGATTAAAAAAAACAGTAGCATACAATGTTCAGTGCTCCAATTTGTGCTCTGAATGACCAAAGAACTCCAATTTGTGGTCATAGCGCTCCAATTTGTGTTCTGAATGACCAAAGAGTAGCGAGTGGCAGTAAGGCTGGACGCAAATTATTGCATTCAAAGTTTCAAACTGCGAGCTGTTAAATCGTAATGCTGGCCTGGAGAGATGTTCGTGATTCGGTGATGGATCCAAAGGCCGAAATCATTGAAGCATGTTTGCCCATGTGCATCTTGTTGAGTAGTGGTCCACATATGAGTTGTCTTAGTGGTAGCGCAGCTGTACCGGCTACCAACTGTACGATTCCATGGTAAACACAGTTTAACTTCGTTGATTTTTTTTTACTTAGCCTAACTGTTCTCTAGGCTTAATGCATCGTGCACAGTAAAAAAAGGAACTGTTGTTGCAGATATGGCCATGCAAAAGGCCAAACAAAGATTCAGACTCCTCATCTTTCACGAGTACAGTTAAATGCTCGAGAGTTTTGCAGCTGTATGCAATTGCGAGCTAGTACCGCCGTAAAGCACGGGCGACCAGTAACGTTTTTCAGTGACAAGTGATTTTTATACGTGTCGACGGCTAACCGCAATGAAGATGGCAGCGGCAGAACCGGGGCGGCTGGCCGACCTGCCCGGGAATTGCAGTGTGTTCTGTTTCTCGGTAAAATTTCTGAAGAGCCTAGTACTGGCGTGATGTAGCTGAACTCTGAAGATTGATGGTAACTTCTAATGTGGTTCTTTGAAGCTAGCCGAATGGGTCAGGTTCACTGCAATTGACCGTACCGTACAGGCAAGTAGGCAACGTGTGGCGTACTGGCGTGGAACCGTGGATGGTTCATTGAACCACAGCCAGCGCTGCTTTTCCGTCGGGTCATCGCCTCTTCTGAATTTTCCCGTCTTCCTCGTAGGCTCGTGGCATCTACCCTATAATTCACCAACCCATTTTACTCATCTCTCATCTTACACTCTAACATTCTTACGCCTTACAGATCCAACAGCTCATATTTATCTGCATTGAATCCAACGGCCCCACGACGCTCGCACCCCCTCCGTCGCTCCCCCAAGAGCGCGCCCCTCCCGCACCCCCAAATCACGCTCGCTCCCCTACCGCCCATCGCACCCATCCCCTCCGCGCATCCCGGCCCTAACCGCCGCACCCATCACTCCCCTCACCATCGCCGGCTGTCTCCCTTTCCAACCTTGCCGGCCGCCGATTCCCCTAACCGTCACCATCGCGCCGCCACCGATCTGGAGTCGCCTGGGTCATTGTCGCCCCCAAGCCGCATAGGCACGACCCGGCGTGGTCCTTGTCGCCAGCGTCGCCACCAATCTCCGCCTCGTCCCCTGCCTCGCCGGTCTTCTCCGAGAACCCACGACCTCGCGTCCGCTGTCTCCTCTGTCGCTAGATCGCTATCCTCTTACGTACCACCCGCCTCTCCGGCTCCGGTTCGCTGCGAGTGCCGTGGCCTATCCCCCCACTCCGCCGCATATCGCGTCGGCCGGGAAGAAGGGGGAGTAGTCGTGTTGCAGTTGTCGGCCCCTGGCACGAGCGCAAATGATTTAGTCGGCGTGCGATGGTGGTGGTCTGACAAGTTCAGCCGACCGATGCATCCACTGGGAGCCCAAGCCGACACTGAAGAAGAAGCCCTCTGCCGTTGGCCGTCGGTAGTGCCGGCATTGTCCAGCCACTTGTGGCTGCGCCGGACGTCCACACAGGGACGCTGAGCCATCCATACAGGAGCAGACGTGGACGCACTGACGGTGGCAGTTTGACAGGCTCAGCCTATTTGACGCATGGGGCTCTCATCTCTATGGTGTAGGTAATGTGAATCAACATTCAAAAGTACTATGTGCTCATTTGGTAAAGGAGATGCTCGAGAATAGTAAGGCCCCGTTTAATTCCCTAAAAGTTTTTCCAAAAGCATCACATCGAATCTTTGTACGCATGTATGTAGTATTAAATATAGATTAAAAGAAAAACTAATTGCACAGTTAAGGGGGAAATCGTGAGACGAATCTTTTGAGTCTAATTAGTTTATGATTAGCCATAAGTGCTACAGTAACCCACAGGTGCTAATGACGGATTAATTAGGCTCAAAAGATTCGTCTCACGGTTTCCATGCGAGTTATGAAATTAGTTTTTTCATTCGTGTCCGAAAACTCCTTCCGACATCCGGTCAAACAACCGATGTGACACTCAAAAATTTTCATTTCACGAACTAAACATGCCCTAACTGATTCCTTTATATTAACAAGTTCTCACTTCCTTTTTAATATATTAATGATTTTACCACCTCTTTTTAAATATATTATATTATGTGTTGTGCAATGCAGAAGTATATTTATAAATGAGTAACCCGAAACACTTGCAAAAATACTCTATCTGAGTTGCTGTTGTTGTCACTTGAAGAAAACAATGAGTTCTTTTAGAGAGAAGAAATATATTCATGTGGTTATTTGAGCAGTCGGTACAGTATTTTGAAGATGAATGATGACTTGTTTCATATCATGACATGAACAACTGATTGGTTTGTGAAACAATGTTACGCATTGCTGGTTTATTTGGTCTGAATGTACCAGTTCCAATTGGTTGTAGCTTGCGAATTCATTTTCTTTTTCTTACCATGCTTATATAGGCAACAAGTTTCCTCTATGCAGTGCGCATGAAGGGTTGTAGCTGCTGGACTATACCATGATGATAATCTGAAGGGAAAAGAAAGAGCCAAGGGATGTTACGTGTTTGAATTAGAGGTAAATAAACCACTTAAAATGCTAGATATACATATGCTGACCTGTTAATTTTATGATGAAGGTTGACAATATATTTGTTTGCACCAATAAAAATTACAACAGTTGATCATCTTTGGATAGTGGTCAGGATTGGCACATGAATTTAGTTCTCATCTTTTCATACTACAATTATTTTGGTTCAACATATAGTGCTGCTTTGATTCTGAGAAATAACATCTTCTCTAATTAAGTGGAACATTCTATTTAACAGGGAACACTCATTGGCTTTATCATTTAAAAGCATTTTGCAAGGCATGTTCTTCTCAATTGATAAAAGTGAGCAGTGCAAATATTTTGGTTGAGTCCCTCGCGCCGCCAAGGATCCTGTGCCATCTGCTCCATTGCACCGCCACCGGAACCCTCTCCACCGTGCTGCGAACAAGGAAATCATTGCTTGATTCCGTTCCTTCAACCATTACAGTTCAAATGCAAAATTATGAAATTAGTGGATGTGATTGTGAATGATAGTGTCACGTCTCTTATGTATGTGCATCCCAATATCAATGGCTATTATGCATCTCTTCGAAAGTTACTGAAATAGAGAGAAATTATAAAATAAAAATGAATATATACTTGCTGTTTAATTTTCCTCCCTCGCACTATAGCATACACTACTCAGAAAATTGAAAATAAAAATGAATGCCAAGTTATTGTTTCACACTGATTTTAGACTCAATCTATATGTTTCTCTAACTCAAGTGATTATTTTCTGGATAACCTGGGAGAAAACAATTTATTATGTGAATGTGTGTGAGAAAATTATTGTCTGCATATTTTTCTCTAATTTAGATAGCAGGCCTAATCTTTTCTCAAGCTAGGATAAGGCCTGAGTCAGGAAATGACTGATGATGGGGCACCATGAAGGATTTGTCGCCATGTTCTTCCTCTCCGTCCACGGCCGCAAGCTCTCCGACCAAGTCACTGGAACCCCTATTTGTAGGGTTGTTTAAATGAGTTGCTTCCATGTTCTTCTTCAGTAGCATATAATCATTTCCAAGGGCAACAATTCGATGGCGGCAGATTTTAAATGAACCAACTGCATATAAACCCAAGTTTGCATTGCTTTCTGTATTGTACATATTTGATATTTGATAGCCGCTGCATATAAACGCTGCATCTGACCACCTGACATAAAGCTAGCTGGAGATGACCATGATTCATCCGTAGCTTTGCACATTAGTTTGCACCTAACATTGTCTTTAGTGTGATGCAGCTGTCAGAATCGTCAACACCAACGGGACGAGCATGATGGATGAACTCAGGAAGACCCTGGATAGAAGAGGCCCTGGGTAATTGCCATCTTTGCTGCAAATGCATGCTTTAGATTCTGCTTTGTTCAGAGTTCAGCGATGTGATGCAGTTGTCGGAAGCATCAACACCAGCAAGATGAGTGATGCTAAAGTGTTTACTTTTGTTTCGTTTCCTGTTTGAATGGCAATTTCAATGAAGCTTGATTATTTATTCTTCTATACATGCAAATGGATTGCATTGTGTATAGAGTTTGCAAATGTTAGCAAGCAATATATATTGTGGGAAACATGCATTTATACATGGCTATATAATTATTAATATATTAAACCATTCTTTTTATTGTCTGAAATCATATATTAGATTTGTATTATTAAATATAGCCGTAGCGTTAGCACGGACAAATTACTAGTATGTTCTGGTTTCTAAACCTTGCTTAGTAGGCGCACAGCCCAGTGAACCCAGCAGAGTGAGACCTGCAAAGCTATGGGCCGGGCCACTACCAAATCAAATGGTTCTCAACCCAAACTTGGGCTGCTAGAAGGAAAACTCTCAAGTCATTGCCTGTTAGTTTTTCTTTTTGGGGATGCTATATAATGAAATGTCATTCGGACGGAATGATATAGGAGTAGGTTAGTTATCAGATCATGACGTATCTGAATATTTGACTCTTCTTTGATCTTTGAGATCAGACTTGTTGCCGATAGGTTTTCTTTTTTTGACGCGAACATTAGGGAATGACTCGAACCCAGGTTGTTTAGCCCACCATCTTGTAAAGCCAGCTGGAAGACCCCAGCTGGAAGACCCCTGAGTGTTTCTCCTTTTCTTTTCTTTTTTTTTCTTTTTTTTGTCTGAACGCTTGCAGATTTCGCTCTTTCCAAATCTGATATCAGGAAGATAAAGGCTACTGGGTACTGGGTACTGTGCTACTGATAATCTTTATCGTAGCTTGCACTGCAGATCTGCAGTGCAGCTGATTAACGAGAAATACATGAGATTTATCCCCAACAGATTAAGCAGTTTGCGCTACAATTTCCCCAAACATCTTGCACGCGTACATGCTGTTCTTGCACTCAATAAGGATTTTTTTTTCTCTCATTGCACTTCTTCTGTTAATGCTAGCAAAGCTAAAGACTCAGTTACATGCTAGTAACTGATTGTGCAGCTGCTTCACTTCACATGAACTCGCCCATCATGGCGAGCACCTGCGCCATCCTGGGCCTCTCCTCCGGCGCCTCGGCGGTGCACAGCATGCCGATCTTGACCCACCCCATCGTCTCATCCTCCCCGCCATCGCCGCCGCCGCCGCCGTTGCCGTCCCCGGCATTGTCGGCGGTCACCACCTCCAGGAGCACCATCCCGAAGCTGTACACGTCGGACTCCTGCGTCGCGCGCGCGCCCGCGGCGCCGGCGCCGGACGCCAGCTCCGGCGCCGCGTACCCGTGCCAGCCTCCTCCGCCCGCCGCCGCCGCCGCCCGGTCCAGGAACAGCCCCGGCGGGCACCGCGGCGGCTGCGGGATGGACTGCTGGATGTTGGCGGCGTAGCGCATGACCCCGCACTCGGAGACGCACGCCGCGCCGTGCTCGTCCAGGAGGATGTTGGACGGCTTCACGTTCGCGTGCACCAGCGCCGGCCTCGCCGGGAACGTGTGGATGTAGTTCAGCCCCTGCGCCGCGCCGAACAGGATGGCCTTCCTCGCCGCCCAGTCCAGGCTCCTCCCGCCGCCGCCGCCTCCTGCAACAAACACCAGCAACAAATCAAGAACACCTCTCGCATCGCGTCAATGGCGACCGATCGAGTCGGCGCGGCGCCGGCACGCACCGTTGCTGCCGTGCAGGAGGGACTGGAGGCTGCCGTTGGGGAGGTAGTCGTAGACGAGCAGCCGCTCGCCGTTGGAGTTGCAGTAGCCCCTGAGGCTGACGACGTGGCGGTGGCGGAGCCGGCCGGCGAGCCGCATGTGGCGGTCGAACGCCTTGCTCCGGCCGGGGAACTGCAGCGCGCTGAGGCGCTTGACGGCCACCACGATGCCGTCCTCCAGCACCGCCTTGTACGTGCTCCCGGACACGCCCTTGCCGAGCACCTCCGCCGACGCCTTGAGCAGGCTCTCCAGCCTCAGCTCCTCGCCGCCATCGAAGCAGACGAGTCCACCACCATTGCTCTTCTGCCCCTTCTCCTCCCGATTCCTCACCTTGTCTTCCTCCTCAAAGCTCAGCGCCGCATCGGAAGCACCCTTCCATGACCGGAGCTTCCTTCTCATGTAGACGAACATGGCTACAGAGATAGCCACAGAGATCACCATGAGCGCCGCGTTGCCAATGCCGGTCGCCATGAGCGCCGTCACACTGAGCTTACTCAAGCCTCCATTACTACCACCACTACTAGCCTCCTCCATTGCCGCACTAGGAGATTGTCCGACACTATCTCCTAACGCATTGTAAGCATGAACACATCTCGGAAGAGGCAGGCCACAGAGGCCAAGATTCCCGCCAAAAGACGAGCTCGGGAACCTGGAAAGATCGCCGGAGATCTCCCCATCCAGCATGTTCCGTGAAACATTGAAGCTCCTCACCATCGGGACGCTGAGAGCTCGCAGGTCGCCATGGAAGCCGTTGTGCTCCGCTCTCAGGGTGACCAGAGAAGGCAGCGAGACGCGGAGGCCTCCGGTGAGCTGGTTGTGTGAGACGAGCAGGTGCCTCAGCCTCGGGCTGGTGGAGTTGTCGAGAGGAGGGAGACGACCGGACAGCGAGTTCCTCCTGACGGCGAGCACGCCGAGGCGGGCGAGCCCGAGGAGGGGGGCCAAGCCGCCGACGAGCGAGGCGTTGTCGAGGAACACCCCGACCACCCTGCCCCTGCTGCACCTCACCCCGATCCATGCGCCGGAGCACGGGTCGCCGCCGACCCAGCTCTCCAGCGCGGCGGCGGCTGGGTTGTAGGATTTGAAGGAGAGGAGCGGAGGGAGATCCTGGTGGCCGCCATTGGCGACCTCGGCCTCTCCGCGCACGCACCACGCGGCGAGGAGCAGGAGCAGCAGCAAGAACCAGCAGCAATGGTGGGAATCTGCCATCGTTGGCAGCTGCTGTTTGAGAGAGAGCAGTGGTTGATTGATCCAGTATTCGAGTGAGTGAGTTTTTATAGCAGAGGTGAGGAGGAGAAGGAGAAGAAGAAATGCGCGGGGAAAGTAAAGAGATTTTTGAAAGGCAACACGGGTGGAAGTGGTGACAAGAAGAGAGCTCCAAAAAGGAAAGCTAGAGAGGAGAGCGGCGTGTGCAGTGGCAGTGAGGAGAGTGTGGGCACGATCACACGACACGAGGAGAGGAACAAGCAGATGAGGCGAAGCGAAAGCGAACAAGGCTTGGCTGCTTTTTCTCCATCGGGGGCACAAGGAATTTTGGACGCTTTTGGTGAGGCAACTAAATGCGTGAGCTATACTGAACTGAGCACTGCGTGTATCCGTGATGGTCGCAGTGAGATTGTGTATTTGTGCGGTAATGCGTTTTACTTTATGGAAATGACCAAAAGGAAGAGAAAGGTTGCAAGGCTCTTGGTTCCATAGAGGCGTCGATGCTGTTGGTTTCACTGGCTGTGGGAGAAAACCGACAGGGAATTGGGTTCAGGGGGGATTTGCCAAGTGCCAGCGCGAACAGTGGTCAAGATTCCATCTTGTGTTCAGCTGCTGCCTCGTCCATGGGCAAAGGGAGTGGACATTCGTGTCTCTTCACAGCGTGCATGCTGCTCCGGGTCAAGCAGCTGCGGGTCAGCCAAGCCACGACACGAATGCACGACTCACTCGACCCGGCCCACAGGCTACAAGCTTCTCGGTACTGTGCTGTTCAAGAGCTAAGCACTAGTAGTGCACTACTACATTTTCAGATTTCAGAACAAACACAAGTATAACTTCAGGTTTTAGATTTCAGAACAAGCACTACTATATTTTTCAGACTTAAAAGCTAAAGTTTAACATTTCAGAGCAAACACAATTACAACTTAAGATTTTAGATTTCGGAACAAGTATTACTACATTTTCGTATTTCAAAGCTAAAGTTTAAAATTTCAGAACAAACACAAGTACAACTTCAGATTTTGGATTTCAGAACAAGCCCTACTACTGTATTATCAAATTGTAGAACAAACACAAGTACAACTTCAGATTTGAGATTTCAGAACAAGCACTACTGCATTTTTAGATTTCAGAACTAAAGTTTAAAATTTCAAAACAAACAAGTACAACTTCAGATTTTAGATTTCAGAACAAGCACTACTATATTATCAGAGAACTAAAGTTCAATTTTTCAGAACAAACACAAGTACAACTTCAGATTTGAGATTTTGGAACAAGCACTACCGCATTTTCAAATTTCAGAATTAAAGTTCAAAAATTCAGAACAAGCACTAGTGCTAAAGCTCGAAAAATTGTTTTTGACAATATACTAAGACTGATTTCAGAACTTAAATCAGAACTGAGTTCTAAAAACCATTTGCACTTGAGTTTAAAAAATAAATTAAGAATTTCAGTTTTCAGAAGGCAATATCAGATTTCAGGACATTGCCAAAATTCACATGGACAACAACATCATATCTAGGGATGAAAACGGTCGGAAATGATCGGAAACAATATCATTATTTTATTGTTTTTTCAAAAACGAACGGAAATGGTTGGAAAATTTCCATATTTATAAATTCATTTATTAAGTGTCAACTTCAATGCCACGCTAACAGAAATTTAAAAAAAACTAAATTTAGAAACAGTAACCATCGTAAAAGTATTATTATTATATTAGTTTTGCGGAAACGGTATCGGTATGGTCGGAAAATTTCCATACCGTTTTCACCGTTCGTATCTTGATAACTTAACTTCAGGCACTTGACAGAAGTTAAAAAGTTTGACTAGAGTACTCCTACAGTCAATGCAACTGCTGTCATTGTAGTTTCCGTACTTAGGGCAATACTCAAACCTTGAGGACTTAACTTCAGGCACTTGAATTTCAGTATGTTAAACTTACATTCAGGAGCTGTTCGTTAACCGGATTATGTACTGAACTAGTGCTTAGCTTCAGATCTCAATGAAAGAAAAGTCAGGAATTGTGACCCACGACTTCATATTCAGAACTTCGAATTCTCAAATAACATTGTGCATTTACACGTGCTCAATTAAAATGAAACCGATATTCATCCATGAGCTATGATACGGGGTTGGCGTTGCAAGTGATTGATCGGATTACCCAGGAGGGGTAGCATTGGATGGAAGCGAGGCTCAGGATCCTCTATCTTCAAAGGTACGTGCCTTTGTCACTTACATGTGGACCCAATAAACCATGGGCCCACTTGTCAGTGACAAAAGCATGGTGCATTTGAAGGTAGAGGATCTGAATCACCATCTAGTCCTTTTCACTGCTCACCTTGAAGTTTCTATTGTCTGTAACAACTTTGTATGGCTTTGTTACCTGTATATAAGTATATTCCCTAGTGATCATCTAGGCGAGTTGCAAATGAACTTTTTTTTTCTACATCTTCCATTTTGTATTATAAGTCATTTTTATTTTGGTCAAAGTCAAACTACTTTAAGTTAAAAAAAGTTTTTAGATAAATGTGGTAATATTTACGACATCAAATTAGTTTTATTAATCTATAGTTAAATATATTTTCATAATATAGTAATGGGTTAAAAATATTACTATTTTTTCTTATAAACTCAGTCGTACTTTAAATCAGTTTGATGTTGGCTGAAGACAAAACGATTTATAGTATAATCTTTTAAAACGGAGGGAGTACTAATACTAGTACTAGGGGAGTACCAACGTGGAAAGCTTTTGCCTGCGCGTTTGAAAAAAAAAAAGGTTGGTGCGACGGGCGGACGGGGCCAGCGGCGTGCTGTTTCGGCAGCGCAACGGGCGGGCGGGGCCATGGGCCCATGCGCCGTGCAAAGCGCGACGGTATGCGCGGTTAACGAAAGGCCGATGCGTGTTTTTATCCACGAACGGAGGGAGTTGGTATATAAGCAGCCAAGCAGGGCGACGGCACACCGCCCACATCCACACACACACCCACGATTCCCCACAAACTCACCGGCCATGTCGACGACCTCGCCGAGGGCGGAGGAGGACGCGAAGGAGACGGTGAAGCCGATCTTCATCACGCTCAAGGTGATGGACCAGGAAGACCGGAGGATCCGCCACACCATCAGGATGGCCGACAAGCTGCAGGTGGTCATGGACATGTACTACGCCAAGGCGCCCGATGTCACCTACGGCACGGGGACCTTCCTCTTCGACGGCATACGGCTGAAGGGCGACATGACGCCGATGGGGCTCGAGATGGTGGACGGGGACACTGTCGATTTCTTCCCGGTTATGATCGGCGGCGGAGGATTTTTCCAATGCAATCTTCTTCCCAGTTCTCACTAGTAGTCTACGACTGTCGCCGCCGAGCGTCGTAGACTCGTAGTTAGAATTGTTCATCCTCTGCGATTTGCCGATCGTCGTAGTTTGCAATTTGCAGTGTTTTATTTCCTCATGGCAGCAGCAATCGATGTTAACATTGAATCAGTTGTTCTGGGATGATTAATTATGGCAACAGTAGTTGATCTTGGCAAGTCACTAGCGTCATTTAATCCACTCAATTGCCATGCAATGCATCCGCTGATCCGCCATAGCCTATAGGAAACCCCTTCGATGATATCACCGTGCAATTACTGCGGCAACATCAAGGTTCAGTTCTGAGATTACGCATATCGCCAGTTAATTAAAATCATGCTCTTACATTGGCATCATATATTCATATATGCTGATTGAACAGCAAAGGAAGAGAAATATTATGAATATGGATCACGTTGTATTGAGTCCTCAGGAGTTGGTAACTCGGTATATATATAGCAAATTACAAGGATAAAGATAAGGATAACTTCGAGATACAAATCAATCCTATCCTAGCTAATGGAGTACTATCTCTAGTTAGAACTTAACAATATACTACATAAGAGTACGTAGGGTGAAATCCATGGCAACGCAACTACTCAGATAGCTACGCAAGTACACCTACGCAGATAGCTAAAACACCGGAGGCGATGTACGGCTGGTCTGGCATCCCAGCGGCGGTGAAGGTGGAGAAGGAGAACGAATGGAAGACGCCGGCGACTTGGGAATGGAAGGCGCCGGCGACCAGGGTGGCCGGGGAATACGTCACGCTGAAGGTGCAGGGCACCGACGGCCGCGCCGTCTACCGCACCATGCTGCGGACGGAGGAGCTGCAGGGACTGATGGACTTCTACTACGACCGCTCGCATGGCCGGGTGCAGCGCGGCACGGGCCGGTTTCTGTTCGACGGCCGCCGGCTGCGCGGCTGGCAGACGCCGGCGGAGCTCCAGATGGAGGACGGCGACGAGGTCAATTTCTTCGAGGAGTTGATCGGTGGCGCCGCCGGATCTGGATGGGATCCCCCATCGTCGATCCTCGCGTAGCTTGTTCCTGGTAGTTATGGATTTAGTCTTTTAGATATGAACACTGCTACACATACTATTTTTTTCTTACTAAATCTTTACTAACAATCATCTCAACCGTTTAATTTAGATAGATAGAAGTTATAAAAAATCTAGATACACTTACTGGTGGAGAAACCATCTTTGATCGGTCGACCAAATTCCACAATAGTCTCGGTTCTATTTAAAACCGGGACTAAAAACGATTTTTTAGTCCCGGTTAAAAAAAGTCTCGGTTCCATTTAAAATCGGGACCCGGTTAAAAAAGTTTTGATCTTTAGGCCCTAAAGATAATTTTTAGTCCCGGTTTATCCCCTGTCAGGGGGCCGATGATATTTAGTCCCGGTTCATAATACCAACCGGGACTAAAGATTACCACTTTAGTCTACATCCTAGTTGCTAGTACCAACCGGAAGTGGGAGTAAAATTCGCAACCACTTCCTCACCCACAGATCGATCCTTCCCTCTTCTCCTCCTCCCCCCTCTCCTATCTTACACAGATCCTCCCCTTTCTCCTTCCCCTCCCCTTCCTCCTCCCTCACCTGGAGATAGATCTTACACAGATCCTCCCATTCCTCCTTCCTTCCCCTCCCCTTCCTCTTCCCTCACCTGGAGATGGAGAAGGCCGCGCCGCGCGGACGCGGTAGACGGACGCGCAGTGTGCGGCGCAGACGTGTGTTGCAGGGGAAGCACATGCGCGCAGTAGTAATGGTAGCGGTAGCCGGCAGTAGTGGGATTGATATTTCGTGATTGATTTCTTGAGTAGTAGCAGTAGTAGCGGTTGTGGGATTGTTGCAAGGGAAGCACATGCGCGCAGTAGTAACGGTAGCAGCAGCCAGCAGTAGTGGGATTGATATTTTGTGATTGATTTCTTGAGAAGTAGCAGTAGTAGCGGTTGTGGGATTGATTTCTTGAGTAGTAGGATTGATTTCTTGAGTGGTTGTGGGATTGATTTCTTGAGTAGTAGCACTAGTAGCGGCATCCGGCAGCTTGTTTTCTCTCTCTTTATATTTTTTTGATATTTTGTGATTCACTAAGATGTATAATTTTGTGATTCATTGTATAGATTTAAGATGTATAATCTGTGTTGTATTTGATTTATGTGTAAATTTTTTAGGATTTGTGATGTATTATATTTGTGTGTATAAGTAACTTTAAGATTTGTGATGTGGATTTAGGATGTTACTTTGATTTGGGGATTTGGGGTTTGATTTAGGATGTGCATGCCATCCGATTCGGGAGAAAATAAAAAAGTAACAAAAAAAAAAGGGGACCATCCGGGACTGTCTCTATCCTCTCTTTAGTTTCGGTTGGTAACACCAACCGGGACTAAAGATCCCTCTCTTTAGTAGGACTAAAGATTGATCTTTACTCTCGGTTATTTCACCCGGGACTAAAGATAGCGATCTTCAGTCCCTAGCACTAAAGATTGATATTTACTCTCGGTTATTTCACTCGGGACTAAATATAGCGATCTTTAGTCCTGGATTTGTAGTTCCGGTCAACCGGGACTACAGGGGGTTTACAAACCGGGAGTGACAGTTTCTCCACCAGTGACTCATAGCATGACACATCAGTGTTAGTAAGAATTTAGTACGTATAGACTTTTCCTTTAGGTATATAGTCCCTACTATCATTATCATTATCATCTGAATAATTATGCCAGTAATTCGCTCTAGTCCAAACCATATCTCGAACTAATAAGTTCGTATTTTGAAAATCGAAACCCGAAATTCTGAACGTACAACTCCAATTTCACTTATGCACATACTTGATAACTGAAGGTAGAGAAAATCTATACTAATATAAAAGGTACAAGTTCATCCAGCAATCCTACAATCCTTCGGATCCACTTTTGTTTCTGAGCCATTGATCTGCGAGATCCTACGAACGATATTCCTTTCACGATCCTCCCACGCGCGACCCTTCCCTCTTCCTCAGCGAGAAAAAACCGCTCCTCCTCCTCTTCTCCGCGTCCCCACCACGTGCTCCACCTCCGGGGCCCCACTCTCTTCGTTGCGCCCCCACCACGCCCCGCGTCCGCGCCTCCCCTGCCTCCTCAACTCCTCGTCATCGTCGGTTCCCCTGTGTGCCTCCCTCGCCGCCGCCGCCGCCGGGGGCGGTTCCCTACTCTGCCTCCCCCACCACGCCTCCCACATCGCGCCGCCCCCATCGCCGCGCCCCCACAACGCCTCCACCGTCGGCACCCCCATCGCGACACCCCTGAGCTCTGCATCGCCGCCGACCGCCGCTCCTGCTCGCCCTCATCTACGACGCCGCCGTCACTACCCTCTCTTCGCTGCGCTGCCTCCCTCCCCGGCGTCCCCATCCCCTCCTCGCCGCGCCACTTCCCCATCTGCCGCCCCGCCTGCTTACCTCCCCGGCGTCCCCATCCCTTCCTCGCCACGTCGCTTCCCCATTCACCGCCCCCGCTGCACGCCTCACGCCGCAACCCCGCAGCGGAACCCACCGGCGAGCTAACCGCCGTCCCGGCAGGTCGCCGTCAATCGCCGTCGCCCCGCAGGTCGGCGTTGCACTGCAGAGGGATTTCCCCGCCGAACGGTCGCCGCAGCAGGTCTACGCCACCTTCTTCCCACGCCGACTCCATGTCTAATCCCTACCTCACCACAGGTAGGCGGCATTGCTTCTGCTACCATCTTCCTCTTTTGTGTTTCAATCAACAACCGTTTGATTTATTTCTGAATCAAATTTCCTCTTATGTTTTTCAATCAGCAACCGTTTCTTGATTTATTTCTGAATCAAATTTTCTTCATGTTAATCACTTCACATTCCTGTTAATCACTTCACTAATGAGAGTTAAAAATAAGATTCTGAGATTAACTCTGAGAACAGCTTAGGAAAGTTGATATTCACATTAATTTCAGAACATCATGTTCCTTGTGAATAAATAGTATGATCTTCAAGCACTTCAAGCAACTATTATGACTTGTTTGTTTTCCGCATTGTAGTTTCAACTTGTGGTTCCAGCTGAAGCAATTGGAGATTTATTAAATCTAAGGCTACATGCTAGGCTGCTATGAGGTAATCTGAGGAATTCAAATTTATATATTGCTGTGTTCTGGAAAAATATCTGACAGTTTAGCACCTCAAGAGAGGACATTAATTTGTAATATATGACTCCTGCATTTCCTTTTACCTCAAGTTCAGGAGTACTCACATGAGTTCTCTCCCCATGCTAATGCTATTATGAAATTTGATAATACATTTCAAAAATCAAAATGCATCCAAGTTCAGGAGGATTCACATGAGTTCTGAATTTCTGTTGTAGTAACTGAATTTGTGTTCAACCCTTAAGAATTGTCAAACATGTTAGGATCAAGTATATATGTCAGCAATTAGGAAATGTAACACCTCATTTGTGTTCAACCCTTAAGAAATGTATGTGTCGATTTGTCAATCACTGTTTTTGCTCATCATGTTGCTGTTATAAATAGTTCAGCATCACAGGGATTTTGTCTTTGAAGAAGGTTTTTCATATTCTGGTTTACTGCACATGCTATGAGAAAGCCCAATAAGTATAGCTATCCATATATTTCTTGACGAATTCAGCCAATGGTAATAACTCAGTCTTAACTGGATAAAACTATGTTGAGCATGACAACTATAGGGCTAACTGAAAACCTGAAATTTTCAGGGCATAATAGTATGTTGCATGCCGGTAACCCCAAAGTAGCAATGAAGAAACTCATACGTTACATACTACAAATCCCAAATTCATGAATACAACAACTTTGGGTAACTTTAAGAATTTAATCAAGAATAGGTACCGTTAATGCTATCCTGTGTTTGTCAACAACAATTATATTTCTGAATATTTTTTAACCTTTGAATATACATACAGGTTACGTAACCCTCTGCTACTCTGCTTTTTAGGATTTGTAAGGCTTGCTTTCCCCATTGCCCACATAGATCCTGATTTCACTGTTGAAAAACCATGTTTTCCAGCCCTACGCCTGCATTATCTAGGTAGAATGGAAAAAACGAAAAAAAAATCCAGGCTGATCAAATTTGATTTTTCTATAACTTCTTTTTCTTGCTATCATTGTCCTGCTTAGGTGATGTCTATGTCTAATGGTACACTGCTTCCTAATACGCACCGTAGGGTCCACCAGCAAACCTCTGTTGATCCATCAGCAAGTTTTACATTAGTTGCATAGCTGTCAGTTACTATCATGTGGCACTTATTTCTTTTCCTTTGTCATTTATGTGTAAACATATGCTACCGATGTTGCTGACTCTCATAGTACACGGCAATATCAGGAGGTAATGAGAGCTCTTTCTTATGGATTTTCATTTGCCACCTGATCAAAAGCTGCCATTTTGTTTCCATACAAATGTGCATTTATTCAAAGTAACCTATATAGCAACTATTCAAGTATGTTGCTTGGTAGGTTGTGAACAGAATTACTCGAAGCATAGCAGGACAGAGGCATAAGAGGGAAAAGTCCTATCGTTTTGTCTGCATGTCTACATTGTTATCTTTGATTGCTGATTTTGGCAAATCATATTAGTCAAATTGTTGTTTCTATATATAATAGAAGCTTGAATTGAATGGATAGATATGTCAGTCTGCATATTATAAAGCTTTTGATTTTTCTGCTTATGCATCAGGATAGTAATCCTTTATCCTTTTTCCATCTCCTATTTCAGATGTAGATCAAATAGGCTATCCTATTAGATGGTTATTGAGCAAGCATGTTTATACCAAACAGTCATTTTGTTTGTTGCTGGAACTATCAGGTATTGTGTGTTACAAAATTATGCCACCAATATCTTTTGGCAGTATATAATAGGTTATAGATATGCCTACAGCCTCCATGCAAAAGGAATTTGATTCTTATACTGTATGATTCCTATAAATGGCTGCCCACCAGATGTTAAAATTCATCAATGAAAGATTCTTAATTGACCATGTGTTTGATAAATTATTGCAGCACATCGATAATTTATTGCATTATACAAAGTAACTTTGAGTTTTTAAGCATAATATGTAGATGGTTCGAGCATGATTTGATTTGTTGCTTACAAGTGATTTACCATTTTGTTTATCAAATATGAGCTATGACATGCTTTTGACTAAAAGTACAGTTTGAAAATTGTCAAACGTAATGTTTATGAAGTTAATGTTGGAATGGTCTTAAAATATGCATCGTCATCATGTATTGCAGTTGTCCATGCACATCAGATTAGTCTATACACATCGGAATTCTTTAGTCTAAATATTAATTGCATGGATTCGCAATTTAACAATCTATCTGAACTGAATACTGCTTAGCCTACGTTATTTCCAAATTTGCCGAGCACATATTGGGGAATCCAGTTTGCATGTTCTAGATTTGCACATTTCTTGCTCTTGAGCCACTATCCCAAAGCTTACATGTATAAAAGTACGCTTCGTAAAAAACACAAAGTTGCAAACTTTATGAATCAAAAGTATATCTAATTTTGTGCCACTAACAGTTCTTTTTCGTCTTATGTTTGCAGGTTGCCATATAGGCATGCTAAAAAACCGTCAGGAAGTGTACAAGCTTACAAGCTGTAAATAAACGGAATGAAGAGCAATAGATCATCTGTTAGGTTGCCTTCGGTTTTGAACAAGCGCTATAAGGTGGTCGAAGAAATTCTATTATTTTATTTACCATTGATTGGCTATCTGTTGATGCTTTTATTATTCAACCAAACTGGTGGAGGAGCCAAGGTCACAGTAATCTTATTAAAGGTAGTACGTACTTATAGAACCTCCATTTTCATCGGTACATGTGAGAGTGAGCTTTAATAATGTATTCCATGATGAAATGTATTCCATAGCATTAGGATTGGATGCTACAGGGAGACAAATCTCGGCTGTGTCATGTATTCCATGATGCAAAGTTGATGTTGGCTATTGTCTCGGCGTTTCGAATAAAGATTGTTAGGAGAGAATCTACACTGGTAGAGAAACCATCTTTGGTCGGTCGACCCATATCCACAATAGTCCCGGTTCCATTAAAAACCGGGACTAAAAATGATTTTTAGTCCCGGTTAATAAGAGGAAGATCTTTAGTCCCGGTTGTTGTTACCAACCGGGACTAAAAATGAACTTTAGTCCCGGTTGGAGTTTCCAACCGGGACTAAAGTTCATTTTTAGTCCCGGTTGATTCCATGTCAGGCTGTGTCAGGGCCCTATGATCTTTAGTCCCGGTTAGTAACACCAACTGGGACTAAAAACCTATTTTTAGTCCCGGTTGGTGTTACTAACCGGGAATAAAAATCAAAACACACTATATAAAACCTATTTTTAGTCCCGGTTGGTGTTACTAAACGGAAATAAAAATCAAAACACACTATATAATCCATAGTACCGATCCTCTTTTCCCGTCCACACAACAAACTCCTCCCTCTATCTCTTTTTTTCCTCTCTAACTTCTTATCTCTTTCCTTATCTCTAACTCCCCTCCGCTCCTTCCTTTTCCCTTCACCACAATATCTCTTTTTTTCCTCTCTAACTTCTTATCTCTTTCCTTATCTCTAACTCCCCTCCGCTCCTTCCTTTTTCCCTTCACCACAGTGCAGGCGGCCGGCGCGGAGGTGGCCGGCGCGGCAGCGCGGGGGGCCGCGCGGCGGCGGCGGTGGGCGGCCGGCGCGGCGGCGCGGGAGGCCGCGCGGAGGAGGCGGCTGCGGTGGGCGGCCGCTCGGCGGCGACCGGCGCGGCGCTGGCCGGCCGGCGCGGAGGGGAGGAGGGGAGGTGGCAGTGGCTGCCGGCCGGATTTTTTTTCTTTTTTTTTGAGATGTGAATCTGTGATGTATTTTTGTGTGAGATGTGAATCTGTGATGAATTTTTTAGAACCCTGTGATGTAATTTTTTTAAGAGTTTGTGATGTATTTGGAGATGATTTGTTTGAGGATTTGGAGATGTTATGTAATATGTGATGATTTGGATATGGGAGGGGACGGTGTGAAATCAATATTCAATATTAAAAGCAGAAAAAAAAGAAAAAATATCTTTAGTCCCGGTTGGTGTTATCAACCGGGACTAAAGATGCTCCCATCCCATCTTTAGTCCCGGTTGGTAACACCAACCGGGACTAAAGATTGATTTTTAGTCCCGGTTATTTGAACCGGGACTAAAGATAGCGATCTTTAGTCCCGGATTCGTAGTCCCGGTTAGAAAACCAGGACTACAGGCGGTTACGAACCGGGACTAAAAAGCATTTCTCCACCAGTGGTAATGGTGTAGCTTCTTTGGGCATAATGTACAAGAACTTTTAACTCAACTGATTTAAGCGAAGGATATATTTCTTTTACTCCATTCAATGTATGTTGGCACGTACACGCTAACTAGTCTAGAGAAGATAGAGCAGCGCATGCAGCAAACTGTTGCACGCGGCACATGCATGTTCCGCCATGCACGCGCGCACTAATCTCTGTAGAAACAAAAACACCGTACCGGATATTGATTCTATGCATAATCCCATTCGGCCATTCCCATGCCCATATATCTCCAATCCAGCCAAATACTCGATGTCGATCGGTTTCTGTATCGTCGTAGTTAGAATTAATTGTTTATCCTTTGCGACTTGCTATATTTAGAGCAAGGATAATAATATAGCTAACTTTCTACTATTAGCTCATCTTAAAAGCCAACATATATAATAAATTAGTTATAAGGTTGGCTACAATTTTCTTCTCCTCTCTCTATCTCTCACTTATACATTTAATGTATTTGTCTTGAACCTTGTGATAAGTTAGCTCTTGCATGAGAGCCAACATCCTTAATTTTTCACTACCTCTCTCCTCCACCTAAGCTTATAGTATGCTTATAGCTCACTATTATACTTGCTCTTATGCTACTAGTACGTACTACTGTAGTTTGCAATTTGCAGTGTTTTCTTTCTTCTTTTTCTTTGAACGAACAATGTGCAGTGTTTTCCTTTCTTTCATCGTATGCACCAGCAATCGATATTAGCATTGTATCGGTTGTTCTGGGATGATGAATTGTGGCAACCGTCCAGATCTGGCCGGAAGATCCGCGCTATTCCGACCATATCTGGCGGGGCTTAGTGATTGCGGCGGCGACAGCGGCGTGGATCGCCGGATATGACAGGATGGTGGCTAGTGACGACGGTTGTCTGTGGAGGGGTTCAATGGTGGTGGCGGCGGTGGAGCCCCCGCCATACGTGACGGGGCGTGAGGCCAGCTGGAACAACGTCGGCGTCGAGACTGGCACACGGGAGGAGGTGGAGCAGACGTGGTGGGCCGGTGCGTCAACGACGGCGGCAGCTGGAGATGGAGGCAAGGAAGAAGGAGACCGGCGGCGAGTAAGGAGGAGCCCGGCGAGGGGATGCGGGCGACAGTGATGGTGCTAGGAGGCACAAGCGGTTGCGACAGGAAACATGGGTGGCTGGTTAGCATGAGGCGTGGGCGACGACTGCGGTTGGCCGGCGCGGTCGGGGGAGGAGCCGGTGTGAGTATGTGACGCGGATGAGGAGGCATGGCCGTAGGCCGACACGGCCAGCGGCGACGGAGGCTGACGCGGCGCGAGGAGGAGCAGTTGGCGGGTGGCGGAGGCCGGCATGACACGAGAGATGCAACTGAAAGTGCATTAATCCCCCTAGTGGGTTTTGGTGATTAATTACAAATGTGGTTAAGAGACTAATGAGTTCATTGAGTGACTTTCAGGTGCATTAGTCCAAGGTGTGGAAGATAGATGCTTGGAGACCCCAAAAAGTATAAAAACAAAGCGGACCGGAACTCGAGAAGTGCATAGGATAGTTTATCTTTTGAAATCGAGTTTTTAGGAAAAATCGTACTATTAAGAGGGGTTCCAGGTGATGCTCTGAGATATATCAAGTGCTCTTAGTGTGAACCAAGTGTCAAGTTTCTCTAGGAGTCATTTTTGCAAATACTCCATCTGTCCAAAAATGCAAGTCCGGAACTTCCTGTCTTCTAGGTCCGGAAGTTCCGGTCTTGTGAAAAAGATTTTCCTAAGTGTAGTCCGGAAGTTCCGGTCTTCCAGGTCCAGAACTTCCTGTCTAGTTTCCAGTTCAAATTTGTGAGTAACGGCTAGATGACGTCACCTAGCCGTTATACATATACAGCTCGTTTCCAGCTCGTTCCTTGGCCATTCCACTTTCACTTTTCAAACCTAGAGCTATTGCTAGCCTCTCCCAAGTGTTTCTTACCTTCTCCACTCAATCTAGAGCCTAATTCTTGTGAGAAAGAGAGATTGAGAGGGAGAGAAGAAGATTTGGAGATGTGTGAAGACTAGGATCTTGGGTGAGCACTTGGAATATCTCGTGGCTGTCATCTCGGTGCTTATTACTCTTGGAGATGATCTCCTAGACGGTTAGGTGTCACTCGCGAGAATCCGTTGCATATTGTGGATGTCCCGGGTAAGTTTGTGAATGATTTCCTCTCCTCCGAAAGGGAACGAGGTAAGTTAATGAAGTTCTTGTGCTGAGATTCTAGAGGCTTTCCAAGTAGAGCAACCCACACTTGTGGTGGATTTCTAGAAGTAGGTTGAGTTGGATCTTGGTGGTCACTCAATTCTAGAAATTTGCCTAGGGGTGTTTGGTGTTGAAGGCTGTGGATTTTCTCTGGGGTTTTTGCACAAGTGAGGCAAGGGGTTAATCGAGACCCAGCTCTTTGGAGCTCCTCAACGGAGAGTAGGATCGCAAGATTCGAACTTCGGGAAAAAATCGCTCTTGTCTCTTTCTGTGGATGATTCTGTGATATATCCTCTGCTTAGAATACCTGTGCACCATCTTGTGAAGATTGGCTTAGTCTCTTGTTTCGAAATTTGATTTTCATCTCTGTTCTGTTACTCGGAAGTTCCTGTCTTAGAACATCGGAAGTTCCGGGCCTGGGAGGCCGGAAGTTCCGGAGTTTCTTACCAGGAATTTCCGGGTCTGTTTGAATTTTACCGCTTCGATTTGTTTTTAAGTTTTCAGGGACAGCCTATTCACCCCCCCTCTAGGCTTCATCAGCGCATTCAGCAACTAGTAGCAATCTAGGCCGCCGTGGCGCGAGAAGGTGCGACCGGTGGTGACGGAGGCCATCGTGGCACGAGGAGGCGCGGTCAGCAGGTGGCGGAGGGCGATGCAGCGCTGGAGGCATGCTGAGACTAACCGACGAGGGGCTTTGACAGCATTGGAGCATCGTGCATCAACTGTGGACTAGCAAGCGGTGGGCGGCAGGTGAAAACCTAGCTTAGCCTTGACCGGGCCCGGCAACAATGGCGTTTGAGTGTCTCTTCCGATCCCTTCTTGAGAGTGTTGTCGTGTCATCCCATCTCCTCTCGTGGGGCTGCCAAGTGAAAACCCAGTCTCGATTCTCTTTGAGACCTTGACGGATGGTGGCGGCGACGTCTTCACCGCTCTTCTCCCTGGAGATGTCGTCTAGTCAGCCCCTTGCCGAATCCCTCTAGACAACTAGTGCAAGCTCGCTCTCTAGATGCATGTATGTCGGTGACACGGGGCCGGGGGTATCGTGACTAGAGGATTGGGTAGCCGCGGTCACCCACGTGGCCTGACCCCCTCGGGGGGGGGGGGGTCGGGCCCGAGGGTGACATGGCCACCCCTCCCTCTGTCTCCCCGAGGGGTCGGGCCGCTCCCGTTTCAGCCCCGAGGGCTGGGGCGCCCCGACCCCTTGTGGTTTTGGCGCCACGTGTGTGGGTTAGGTGAGCACAGCGGGGCTCACCTAACCGCATTTATAGCGGGTTGGACGAGCGCGCCACGCCGCATTTAATGCGGCGCAGCGCACGCTTATCCGGTCCGTGACCGGTCGTGGTGTGTGACCGGTCACAGACCGGTCAGATCGCGGGTTAGGTGGCAACAGGCGGCCTGTCACACGCCTCGCCCCGTCCCGTCGGAATGATGAGAGCTTCCTGGCTCTCGTCCCTAGCCGGAGCCGGCGTGCTAACTCCTGGAGTTGGTATGTCAGTCCCGGTCAGATCCATTCCAGGCTTCAGCGCGAGCATGGCAAGGAAGTCGCTGGCCATTGAATGAAGGTTGAAATGGGCGTCCACCGGGAAAGCTGGCGAGCGGGGCAGGAGGCGTGTGCTCTGCTTGTCAGAGGTCACTTCCTGCTGTAGACTAGCCCTCATTGTAAAAAGCATGTTTCCTTTCTTAGGCAGCTGAAGGCCCATGTGGTGACCCCTGACCAGATAAAAAGGAGGCCCAGGCCTAGGAGAGGAGGAAAAGGGGAGAAAAGGAGGAAGGGGTTCTAGAGCCTGAACTTTCTCTCGCTCTCCGCCTCTCTGTATTCCTTCACACACAGATCCACCAGAACACAGGAGTAGGGTGTTACGCTTCTCAGCGGCCCGAACCTGTCTACGTAGCCCGTGTCTCGTGCACTTCCTCTCTCGCTGACGTTCCTCGGATCGAGGGCGAAGAACCTCACTTAGCGCCCCCGGCCGAACCGGCAAAGGGGGGCCTGCGCGGTCTCCCGGTGAGGAGCCCCACGCTCCATCAATGTATTTTTGTGTCGGGGCCCTAACTTATGCAAGTTGGCCACGTCTGAGGGCCTAGGGGGAGAGCGGTTCCATTCTACTCTCTCACCCTCAATTCTAAAGAGGTCGCTAGAGTGGGGCTTGGTGTCGGGTTTTTAGGATTAAGTTTTGGGTGATCTTGGCTGTAGTTCCTTTGTTGGCCTAGCGGTGGCCGGTTCGGTGTTGGCCTTCTCCCGAGTATGTATATTGGTGTTGTCAGTGCGTGGGTGGTGTTTTCTTCATTTTCCTATTTAAGTCCTCCTAGGATTGTGATTTTGTAATTTTTTTTACTGCTCTATCAATATTAACTTCGCATGTTTGGTGCGAGTCATTTCAAAAAAAATGGATGAGCTAGCGTGGTGTGCGGATATCGTCATTACAAATTCTTTTAGGACTATCTATACATTTGTCAATAAATGTTCTCCTAAAAAGTTGTCAAATTAAATATGAATATATGATAAATTAGTAGTGTAATTACATTACAACTTACATGTAATTTGTATGTAACTTTCAAATTCAATCGAAGTAATACACCACACAAACTTCTTCACATAAACAAGATATGCTCACGCATAGTACTCGATTAAATTTAAACTGCACAAAAAACAATACACAAATGTAATCAAAATGCAACACACATCTTTTTCCAAGAAGTATTTATTGGTGCTCTTTGTTAGGGAAAAAAAAGAGCTTAATTTAAATTTATTTAAACATGACTACTCGATTGCCATGCACCATGCGTAAAACCATTTAAAACCCCTTCGATCACCGTGCAATTACTGCGTCAACCGAAAGGTTCAGCACTGAGATTACACAGATCGATGGCTAATTAAACCATGCTCACACTGGCATCATATATAAGCACACGCAGGGTGCAATCTATGGCAACAGCAACACAACTACGCAAGTACACCTAACCGCAGATTAGAGCTAGCTCACCGGAGACGAGATGTTCGGCCGGTCTGGCATCACGGCGGCGGTGAAGGTGGAGGAGGAGGACGACGGGAAGACGCCGGCGGCCAAGCGTGCCGGAGAGTACGTCACGCTGAAGGTGCAGGACACCGACGGCCGCGCCGTCTACCGCACCATGCGGTGGACGGAGCAGCTGCAGGGCCTGATGGACTTCTACTACGACCGCGCGCATGGCCGGGTGCAGCGCGGCACGGGTCGGTTCCTCTACGACGGCCGCCGGCTGAGCGGCTGGCAGACGCCGGCGGAGCTCGACATGGAGGACGGTGATGAGGTCGACTTCTTCGAGGAGCTGATCGGTGGCGCCGCTTGATCCGGATGGGCTCCTGCTCCATCGTCGATGATCGCGTCGTAGCTTGTTCCTGGCAGTTGTGGACTTGTAATTGTGTACTGGTTGTGGAGAACCAGAGTACACTAGGTTTGGATGATAAGTGTTTTTTCATTTTGGTGTTAAGCAGATGCGACGCTTGTAATTTTTCCAGTACTTCTGTCTCATCCAAGTAATCTCGAACTAATAAGTTTGTATTTTCAAATTCAAACCCGAAAAATTCTGAATGTACAACTCCGATTTCACTGGTGCACCGTGCACATACCGTCGCGTGTTGTGTGATAACCGAAACCGGAGACAATCTAGGAGAAGATAGAGCACGGGAAAGCATGCAGCAGCAAACGGCACAAGCTCGTTCCGCCTTGCACGCGCGCACTAATATATAGAAGTAATACCATATCGGATAGTGATTCTACATAATCCCATCTCATTTCCAAGATTTTTCTCAAAAACTCAACCCTTCCACCCAATACTCCATGTCAGCTTCCCGATCCGCCATCACCATGTCGAAGAGATCTCGATCAGCCATGTCGTCGAAGGCCACCGGAGAGGACGACGCGGACGACAGCTCGTCGCCGGAGGTCGAGGCGAGCTCGCTCATCACCCTCAGGGTGAAGGACAGCGAAGGCGTCAGGATCACCCGCACGATGCGCACGACGGACGCGCTGGACGACCTGATGGACTTCTACCTCGGCATGGTGCCGGCCGACATGGACGCCGCCGAGGGTGTCTTCATGCACTACGGCCGTCGTGTGACCGGCGACCGTACGCCGGCGGACTACGACATGGAGGACGGCGACGAGGTCAGCTTCTTCCCCGACGGAACCTGGACCACGCCCGTCACCCTCACCGTGACGGACAACAATGGCCGCCGGGTCACGCATACCATGCGTAGGTTGCACATCCTGGACATCCTGTTCGATCTCTACTTCGCCATGCTGCCGTCGACCGCGCCCAGGGAGGGTGCTTTCATCTACCATTGCAGGGAGCTCAGCCCTAAGCAGACGCCGGAGGAATGCAACATGAAGGACGGCGACGAGATCGCCTTCTCTCCGTTCAGCAAGCCGAGTGCCTTCGTCACCCTTACGATCAGGGGCAACAACAACAATGGCGGCGGCAGCGTCGTCGTCACCCGCACCATGCTCAGGACCCAAGAACGACTGCAGGACTTGATCGATCTCTACTTCGCCATGGTGCCCACTGACGATGAGCGCGGCGAATTCGACGTCACGTACTGTGGCAGGAAGGTCGACATCGAGAAGACGCCGGCGGATTACGGGATGGAGGACGGCGACCAGCTCCGCCTTGCTCCGGCGACCGAACGGAGCAGGTTCGTGACGATCAATCTGGTGACCATGGTGGGAGTCAAGCGCGCATACACCCTGCGAAGGACAGACGAGCTGCAGGGTCTGATGGATTTATGCTTAAGCAGGGAGCCTGCAAGCATGTACCAAAATGGTTGTATTTTCCTTTACAACGGCCTGTGTTCAAGGCTCGGAAACTCCGGATGATCTCGAGCTGAAGGATGGTGATACGATCGACGTTTTAGCTCATCTGGTCGGATAATCTCAAGCGGGAGGGTTGGGGATACCATCCACGTTTTAGCTAATCTGGTCGGATAATCTCAAGCTGGAGGGTTCGTCGTTTGGTTCTATGGGACATGCTGTCACTTTTTTATGGGCTGGGGGCCTGGGGCTAGTTACTTTTATTGCCGAGTGTAATACAATTATTTCCTGGATTAGGTAAGGGTCGGTGGTTATCTGGTTTGCAATGTTCTATTGCTGTTTCGGTTTTGCACCATTTATATATCATTATACTCCTTTGTTTCTATGCTTACATCGAAATAATATCTATCTATCTATCTATCTATCTATCTATCTATCTATCTATCTATCTATCTATCTATCTATCTATCTATCTATTATCTATCTATTATATTATTAAAACAGCTTTGAAAAGAGGCATCACGTTCGCTGTGGGGCTAGAAATTGCCACATTAATCGGAAAAAAAGAAAAGAAGAAAAGAAGAGTCCAGGTAGAAAAACAATTTAAAAATAGCTGAAATTCGGAATTAAAAATAAGCAATATTGAAGGAAGTTTCCATATAAGAACCCAATACGAGATTAATTAAAATTCGAAATAAAAATAAAATAAAATCTAAAATTAGAAAAAAAAAAGAGAGTCCAAGTAGAAATAAAATTTAAAAATAGCTGAAATTCGGAATTAAAAATAAGGAATATTGAAAAAAGTTTTCATATAAGAACCCAATACAAGATTAATAAAAATTCGAAATAAAAATAAAATAAAATCCAAAATTAGAAAAGAAAAGGATAGTCCAAGTAGGAATACAATTTTAAAATAGTTGAAATTCAGAATTAAAAATAAGGAATATTAAAAGAAGAGTCCGTATAAAAACCTAATACGAGATTAAATAAAATTGGGAATAAAAATAAAAATAAAATCCGAAATTAGCAAAAAAAAAATAAAAGAAGAGCTCAAGTAGGAATACAATTTAAAATTAGCTGAAATTTAGAATTAAAAACAAGCAATATTGAAAGAAGAATCCATATAATAACCCGATACGAGATTAATTAAAATTCAGAATAAAAAAATAAAATAATATCCAAAATTAGATAAAGTAAAAGAGATTTCAAATAGGAATACAATTTTGAAACAACTGAAATTGAAAATAAAAAATAAAAATATTAAAAGAACATAATACGATATTAATTAAAATTTTTTAAAAAAATCTGAAATTAGAAAAAAGAAAAATAAGATTCCAATAAGGAATACAATTTATAAATAACTAAAATTTGTGATAAAAATAAAGACTATTGAAATAAAAGACCATCTAAAATACATGACGAGATAAATTAAGTAACATGCATATAAAGGAGTAGAGTGGTGGCGGTTGATATGACATAAAAAAATTGTTAATGAAACACCAAATAGAATCCTAATGACGACTAAAAGGAGGGGCGACAGGGAGGCCGTAAAGCAAACGATCAAGGCGATTGCTGGGACTTCTAGAAAGTAAAAAAAATAAACCCCATTGATAATCATATTCGATTTTTAAAATCTCAATGATAATAAAAAGGAGCAGCAGCGGACGGGGTGTATAGGAGTATAGTTGCAGAGCTGCCGACGGTTGACGGGACTTCTAGAAAATAAAAAATGAATTCCAACGATAGTTATGTTCAATTTTTAGAATCCCAATGACAATAAAGAGTAGGCGGCGGACGGGCCGTAGAGGAGCATAGTGGCATAGTTTGACAAGACTTCTAAAAATTATAAAAAAATAAAACCCAACAAGACAATAAACTCTATAAACTACAAGGTTCAATTTTTGAAGTTTCGGAACTTCTAAAAAGTAAAAAAAACAATGATAGTCATATTCGATTTTAAAATCTCAATGACAATAAAGAAGGGAGGCAGCGGGCGAGCCGTAGAGAAGAACAATGGCAAAGTCACTGACGGTTTGGCGGGACTTCTAGAAAGTAAAAAATGAACCCAAACGATAATTATGTTCGAATTTTAAAATCTCAATGACAATAAAGAGAAGAGACAGTAGACGGGTCATAGAGGAGTATAATGGCAACGTTTGACGGGACGTCTAGAAATTATAAAAATGAAACTCAATGTGAAAATAAACTCTAAAACCTATAAGATCCAATGTTTGAAGTTTCTAAGGAGAATGAATAGAAATAGTGGTAGATCGAGCAAGCAAATAAAGAAGGAGATAACATAAGGGGTAGTATCTGGTGTGACTTTTAGAAAACTATATAATTAGAAACATGGGGATGATAAGGTTTGGTCTTTCAAACTCTTAAGACAATGAGATAGCTATTTAATAAATTTTTAGTAAAATCATAAAAAATATATATAATTTTGTTTGGGTGCTAGCCGCGCAATTGCGCGGGCCACCCAGCTAGTTATATTATTAAAGGAATAGAAAAAGGAGCCTCCACATTCGCTCTCATGGCATAGAAATTCTCACATTAATCGGAGAAAAAGAAAAGGCAGAAACCATATAGAAATATAATTTAGAAATAGCTGAAATTCGGAATTAAAAAATAAGGAATATTAGAAGAGGAGACTAGAATCCATATAGAAATACAATTAGGAAATAACTGAAATTCGGAATTAAAAATAAGGAATATTAGAAGAGGAGTATATAGTGCATATAGAAATATAACTAGGAAATAACTGAAATTCAGAATTAAAAATAAGAAATATTAGAAGAGGAGTATATAGTGCATATAGAAATATAATTAGAAAATAACTGAAATTCAGAATTAAAAATAAGGAATATTAGAAGTATAGTATAGAGTCCAGGTTAGAAATACAATTAGGAAGTAATAGAATATTGAAAGATGAGTTTAGAGTCCACATAGAAATACAATTAGAAATAATAAAAATTCAGAAATAAAAATAAATAATATTGGAAGAAGAGTATAGAGTCTATATAGAAATATAATTTACAAAAAATTCAGAATTAAAAAAAAAGAAATATTAAAAGACGAGTATAGAGTCCATATAGTAATATTTATAATTTACAAATAACTAAAATTTGGTATTAAAAATAATTAATAACTAACACGTATATAAAATACAATATGAATATTACACATTATTAGTTTTATAAAGTTATTGCAAAATTTAAAATTATATTGTTATTTTAATATATTTGAATAATATAGTGAGAAAACAAATATGCTACTACCTCTGTTTTTTAATAGATGACGCCGTTGACTTTTTCTCACATGTTTGACCCTTCGTCTTATTCAAAAATTTTACCTAATTATAATTTATTTTGTTATGAGTTGTTTTATCATTCATAGTACTTTAAGTGTGATTTATATATTATACATTTGCATAAAATTTTTAAATAAGGCGAATGGTCAAACATGTATGAAAAAGTCAACGGCGTCATCTATTAAAAAACGAATGGAGTATTATATGAGAGAAAATATAATGATGCTAGCCGCGTAATCTGCGTAGGCCACCATGCATGCTATTGTAAAGATGCGAGAACGATCTAAGAGCATATGCCCAATAAAATTCCAAAAGAAAATCCCCAGTACCAAAATATTGGACTTAATTTTTCCTGAAAAATCGGCTCCAGCAGGTCTCCCTAGAGATGTTCAAACAAACGTGATCAAGAGAGATCATATCGACTGCTGCGTGTCACGTACGCACGAAACTTGTTGATCCGGCCAACCACCCTCCTCGATCGATTCCACGCAATCACGCGCCGTGCCATCACTACGATGCATATCAGAGCAGGGTACAATAGGATGAGTAAGTAGGCTCCAAAATTTCTCACACCATCCTAATCTTAGATTTAGGGCAGAGAATGGAAGAGAGAGAGAAACAAGCGAGCGAGCGCTTGTTCTAGCGCCGGGCGTTAGCAGCTCTTTCTATGCGTTACCGCCTGCGTGCAGCCGTTCTTGACGATAGAAAACACGTTTTGTGGGGCCCACGCTTTCCCAGCCGATCCCGTGAGTCTGTTTCATACGCCACACAGCTGCGGCAACGAAGTCTTGGTCAATCAGTGCAGCACACCAAAATGGCCACAGAGATGATGGTTTGTATTGATCATACTAGTTACTGTGATCATGCAAATATTAAATACTTCAATGATTTAATTAAGGATAGCTTGCAGCTTAACTTGTAGCCATTCGTTGTATGAGTTAGCTCTAAGTGAACTCCTAATTACATGAAACTTTTTTGGAGCTAGCAGTTAGCTCTTCTATTGACCTTGCTCTCAAGCGCCACATGCTTCTGCTCACGTAGTGTAGTGGCGGTGGAACAGCAATCGAAACGCCCAGTGCGCCGCCGCGACGATACAAATCCACCATGCACTAGGTGATCGATGATTCTATATATAATCCCAGCCTCAGCGCCCCATCCATCCATTTCCGACGAGGAAGAGATCACTGATCGGGCATGTCGTCGTCGGCGACCAGGGGGGAGGCGGACAGCCCGTCGCCGGAGGTCGAGCCGAGCGTCCTCGTCACCCTCCGGGTGAAGGACAGCGAAGGCGTCAGGATCACCCGCACGATGCGCAGGACGGACAAGCTGCGCGACCTGACCGATTTCTACCTCGCCATGGTGGTGCCGGCCGCCGTCGCGCAAGGCCATGTCTGCCGCCCCGTTGGTGTTTTCATGCACTATGGCAGGAGGGTGACCGGCTATGAGACGCCGGCGGACTACGACATGGACGACGGCGACGAGGTTAGCTTCTTCCCCGATAGAGTCATGAGCTTGCCTGTCACCCTCACCGTCAAGGACAGCAAAGGGCGCACGGTCACGCGTACCATGCGTCGGATCGAGAAGCTGAACGTCTTGTTCGATCTGTACCACGCCATGTTTCGTGTACCGTGGCCGCAAGGTCGATGGCGAGCTGATGCCGACGAGCTACGACATGGAGGACGGCGACGAGATCACGTTCGTCCCGATCAGCAAGCCAAGCATGCTCGTCACCCTCAAGATGAAGGGCAGGGTTGGCCGCAGCTAGCGTCACCCGCACCATGCACAGGACGGACAAGCTGCAAGACCTGATCGATTTCTACGACGCCATGGTTCCCGCCGATAAGTATTGCGACGGCGAGTGTCAGGTCGTGTACGGCGGGAAGACGGTCGAAGGCGAGAAGACGCCGGCGGATTGCGAGATGGAGGACGGCGATCAGATCAAACGGATGTCGAGCATGTTCGTGACCGTCACCGTCGGGTTCGTAAGCTTGGGGAAGAACATCGAGCACGCACACACCCTACGAAGGACTGACAAGCTGCAGGGCTTGATGGATTTATGCTCGAGTATGATGCCAAGTAGGTACAAGCATGGATGTCGCTTCTTGTTCGACGGCCGTTTTGTTCTTGGCTCACAAACTCCGGATGATCTCGCGCAGGAGGATGTGGATATGATCGATCTAACATGTTATTAGTTGGTGGTTGCATGTTTGTTGTTTGACAGCTGAAGTTTTTTCTCTGCTTCAGTTTCCAGCAATTGTTACTGCATCTCACTATGTTTGTGCTTTCATCAAATGGATCTTTCGAAAAAGAAAATCAAGAACTACCTGCTAAAACTGTTGTTAAAGTAGTAGCACTCCTATATCGTTGTTTAATTGGGGTATTGGTGCCGCAGATGTGCCCCGGGTGCATTTGTGCAAAGGCCGGAGATGTGATGATGCGTCTTTCAACTTCCAATATCGAAAAAAAAAAAGAATTCGTTGTCCTTAATGCAGGCTACTTGAGCGACTTTGCAAGTGAATCGTTAATGAAGAACCTCCGGCTACAATGTTTGATTTAGTCTTGTCACTAATTTTGAGCTCATTGATAATCTGCCTGCGAGCTACTCCCTTCGTCCTTAAAAAAAAAAAGACAAACCCTGAGTTTCCGTGCCAACGTTTGACTATCCGTCTTATATGAAATTTTTTTATAATTAATATTTTCATTGTTGTTAGATGATAAAATATGATTAATACTTTATGCATGACTTATATTTTTAATTTTTTTTATAATTTTTTCGAAAAAGACGGACGGTCAAACGTTGGATACGGAAACCAAGCTTTGTCTTTTTTTAGCACGGAGGGAGTACTCTGTGTTCTGAACTGAATTTCAAAAACTTGATTGGTTACACTTGCTCGAAAGAGTCTCTGCTTCCTACAATACGACTTTACTCTGATTGCATCAAGTCGACGAATTTTCTCTCATTGCGAAAAGGCATGGCAGCCCTCGTTGCAAGTCTTGCAACCCCCAAATGAGATGACCGCCGGCGCCGGAGCTTGCAAGTCTCTCCTCGCCGCAACCTTCGCCGCCTGCGGTAAAAAAGGGGGAAAAATACGTGAAAAGCTAGCGAATGACATTGTCAAATGCACGCAGTTTTGTTACGGTCATTGACGATTCATGGTATGATGATCTCATCTGCACCTTGTAATCGGCGGATGCCCGGAAGTTGACAGCAACCGCCGGTTTCTGGCGGCCACCGCCGCCGCCGCGGCCGCAGCCGAGCAGCAGGGCTAGGCCGGCGGCGGTGGCCGCCGTGAGCCCAACGGAGCAGAGCACGCCGACGACATGCTGCTGCCACCTGTGATCACCTCCTCCCCCTTGCTCATCCTCCACAAGCACCATCTCCACCTCCTCGTCGTTATCTGCATCACCCGATCCCTCGCTGGCGTTCGCGACAGCATCGTCCACCTCGTCGTCGTTGTCAAAAGCGTCGCGCCGACTTGCGACGGCGGCGGCGGCGGCGAAGTAGTTCGCGTTGAGGGACTTCTCGCTGTAGCCACCGGCAAGAACGCGCACCCGCGGCTCGTGGGTGATTTCGTCGTCGTCGGCGGCGGCGGCGGCGGTGACGAGCACGAATTTGTCGGCGGCGTCTGTCTCCGCCATCGTCATCGCCGTTGCGTAGAGATGAACAGATGACGAATCTGACGCCAAAGCTTTCTTTCGGTGCAAGAACAATGTTTAAGTCAAACCTTAAAATATAAATCATAAATAACTTTTAAATTGTTGAGTTTGAAAGTGTAAAAAATATATGTATAGATTTGTCTTAAAAAATATTTTTATAAAAATATATATCACTTTTCAATAAATATTTTTATAGATATAAGAAGTCAAAGTTGTATTTTGGAGACCGTGTCACTGTTCTAAACGACTTCCTTTACGTTACGAGTATGGAGAGAGTATGGAGAGAGTATATAGGTTACTCGTGCGCGGGCCGTCGTCGTGTACTCGTGTCACGTGAGGGACGTGAGGGCACACCGGCACACGCACAGGGAGGATAATTAGGCCGCACGAACCGTACAACCCCGGCCAGATAATTAAGGGCTTGATTATTGGACTAGACAACTTTGAGGCCCAGTGCACACGGTAAGCCCAAACCGAACCCAAAACTGAACTCATTCATAAATAGGCCTTACAGTCCGGCGAAAATATTTTTAATAGTCCGGTAAATAGGCCTTACCAAAAAAAATGCCCAGTAGAATGAAGTCCAACGCAGATTCCATGTATAGCATTTTAGATTTTTGGTAGAGCAATTCGAAAAGAAATAAATCATTAATGTATAATTAATTAAGTATTAATTATTATATTTAAAAATGGTTTAAATCGATCTTTTAAAAAATTGTATACAAAACTTTTACACAAAACACGTTATTTAACTGTTCGAAATACGTGCAAATGAAAAACGAGCAAGTTGCTGATTTTAACTTTTGGAAGAGAACTAATCATAGACTGATGAGTCCCAGACCCAGTACAGAGCCAGGTATTGCCATTGCCAACAAGGGCACAAGGCAACAAGTAGCCATCTCCTGCGGTACACCGGCATGGTCTCCACGATTTGCCCATAGCTGCAAGCCTGCAAGATGCCAAGACGGCTCGTCTCTCTCAGTAACTCCACCGATCGATCAACGGTGCGCACATGAAAGCAGCGCAGCAGCGAGCAAGCTACAGGAGCAAAGCAAAACCGGCTAAAAATCCAGTACTCGACCAGATCACAACCTGCCAGCCAGAGAGCCAGATGCGATGCGAGTGGACACTGGACAGTGGAGACGACGACGGCGTGGCCCCTACACTGCTCCCTCTCCCCTGCTTAAACAAGGGCAAGGAATCTCATCTCATCTCATCTCCTCCTGATCAATTAGGCCCCTCTCAGATGCTTTGTTTTGATTAGCGATGCTAATCATGGCCACCAGACGATAACCAGATTGTTTGTTTGTAGCTACTGCATCCCTGGCAATTCGCAGCGTTAAGTACTCTACTAGACTCTGGTCTGATGCTGCAATAATCGATCCATTTGGTTGGAGAACCTTTGGGGAAAAAATAAGAAAGCGGTAGGTTGGAGTTGGACGGGGTCAGGGAAGGAGGAGAAGAATAATCGAGGTTTCATTGCAGAGCAGGCTTGGAGATGAAGCCTCTGGAGCTGTCTGTCTGCCAGTCACTCGTGGCAGCCTCACTGTCAGCTGTACTGCATGCGTGAGCAGATCGGCCACACTATGCTGGCTCAGGGCGTGTTCTGTATAAGCACTTAAAGACGACTAGCTAATTAGATGCACGAAAAAGATATAAATCGTTAGCATATAATTAATGAACTATTATCCATTGTAAATTTTATAAATAAATTTATTTGTTTTTTTTGAAAATACATATATATATAAATCTATTATATTATTAAAGTAATAGAAAAAAGAGTCTCCACGTTCGCTCTCATGGCCTAGAAATTCTCATATTAATCGAAGAAAAAGAAAAAACAGAGTCCATATAGAAATACAATTTAGAAATAGCTGAAATTCGAAATTAAAAAATAAGAAATATTAGAAGAGTAGACTAGAGTCCATATAGAAATACAATTTAGAAATAGTTGAAATTCGGAATTAAAAAATAAGGAATATTAGAAGAGGAGAGTAGAGTCCATATTGAAATACAATTAGGAATAAATGAAATTCAGAATTAAAAATAAGGAATATTAGAAGTAGAGTATAGAGTCTATATAGAAATACAATTAGGAAATAATAGAAATTCGGAATTAAAAATAAGGAATATTAGAAGTAGAGTATAAAGTCCATATAGAAATACAATTAAGAAAAAAAAGAAAATCAGAATTAAAAAATAAGGAATATTAAATACAATTAAGAAAAAAAATAGAAAATCAGAATTAAAAAATAAGGAATATTAGAAGTAGAGTATAGAGTCCATATAGGAATTTAATACTAACTAAAATTCAGAATAAATATAATTTGATAAACATACTAGTTTTATAATAAAACATACTGTTTAACAATTTGATAAACATATTCACGATAAATGAGATATTAGTTCAGCTCAAATCTAGTTTAAAACGTGTCCTTAATTCAAAGTAGGAGTAGTAGCCATCCCAATTCAATACTCCTACTGCCATCGCGAAAGCTTCAGACCCTGTAGATAGATGGCTACCTAGATAGAGATAGGCGAAAGCTTAACCATCAGTATGATTACTAGTAGTATATAGTAGTCGAGGTAATATCAGTATTATGTTGCTAGCGCACAAAATGTACTCAACGACAGGATGCAATCAACGACGTGTTCATTCAAATTCGTCCTAGTTTGTGTACGTGTGCGTACGATCGATGTAGACCGGTCCTGATCATCCTTCTACTCCACTGTTTCTGCTGGATCATTGATCGGTCAGGCGGCTGATGCTTGTGGTGCAACGATGAGGTTTGCCGTTTGATCGACCGATCGATCGAGCTCGGCTGGATCGCAGCTGGACGTGCTGGCGACCGTCTACCGGCGGCCATGATTAATTTTCATTGGCGTGACGATGACGATGATTGATGGTGGTGTGGTGTCCGGTAACAGGTAAGCTCCGCGGGGGCAGGGACCCCGCCGCCGCCGTGGTTGGTGTTGCCTCGCCATCCGTACCGGTCGTAAAAAAAAAAGTCCCCGGCTTCTCTCGGCATCACAGTATTCACCAAATCGTTTAGATAAAATTATCGCCTCACGTTTGGTGGTTATCATGGTAACAGTACGATTACTGTGAAAATCGTGTGATTATCGTGGGATACGTCATGATTTAAAAGCTCTAAAAAGGAAATAACCTCGCGGTTATGTATCCTCGCAACTCGCATCAGCGGCTCCTGTGTCGGAGTGGAACCGGGCTACAGTACAAAATCGCGATACAGCACGGTCTCGTCCTAGCACCCGACACAACCGTCACGGCTCACGGGTTTTACCAGCAATTCACCGTAAGATCGCGGGGGAGGGAGGCAGCTACTACTACTACTTGTGCTGTGGTTTTGCAGGCTGGCAGTGGCATGGGAACGCGAGAGGCCACATGAGATGAGAGGGACAGCTCACTTGAGCGGCTGCCCCCACGTGCCCTGCACAGTGTGACTGACACACACCATGGACCCCACGCTTCGCTTCGTGCTTCCGTGTGTGCACCGGGTCTTTGGTGGTGGTGGTGGAACGGGTTGTTAATTACTACAGTACACAAGAAACAAACTGGCGAGGCGCCTGGGCGGAGATATTTTGCTGCGTGCGACGGGCCGGCCGGGCCGACGGGGGGAGAAGGTGGGGCCCGGTGGAGGGGAGGGCAGTTCATCTGGGTGGGGCCGGCGTCCGTACGTAGGCAGCGGATCATGGTCTCATGGACACCCCGTGTGTTGGCCTACGGCCACGCCGTCGACGTCTCGACGAGCCTACTTCGAAATCGTGAAACTGGAAATTTCCAATTGTCCTGCCTACAAGCGTGTTTTATCGTGGCATTTCTGGGGTTGCTAGTTGGCACGCGCGCCAACTTGCTAACTGCTTTCGGCCCATCAACCCATCAGCCATTTTTTCCTTTTCTCACGAGTTGTTGTTTCTTTTTCTTTTGCGATTTTTTTTCGATTACTTTTTTTTAATCTTTAGCACACTTATTTTTTTTCAAAAATGTTTTGAGCTAAAAGTTTTAAAATCTTAAATTGAAAATTTTTAATTCTGATTTGAAAGTATTCAAATCTCGAGTTGAAAATTTTCGAATCTGAGTTGAAAGTTTTTGAATCTCGAGTCGAAAATTTTCGAATCGGAGTCGAAAGTTTTCAAATCTCGAGTTGAAAGTTTTTTAAATCTGAGTCGAAAGTTTTCATATCTTTTCAAATCTTAACTTAAAAAATTTCAAATCTGTACTTGAAGGTTTTCAAATCTGAGTTGAAAGTTTTCAAATCTCAATCTGGACAAACTTTCAATTTGAGATTTGAAAATTTTGAAAACTTTCAACTCAATATTTGAAAACTTTCAACTCAAGATTCGAAAACTTTCAAATCAAGTTTTCAAATCTCGAGTTGAAAGTTTTTTAAATCTGAGTCGAAAGTTTTCATATCTTTTCAAATCTTAACTTAAAAAATTTCAAATCTGTACTTGAAAGTTTTCAAATCTCGAGTTGAAAGTTTTCAAATCTGAGTTAAAAGTTTTCAAATCTCAATCTGGACAAACTTTCAAGTCCAGATTTAAAAATTTTGAAAACTTTCAATTTGAGATTTGAAAACTTTCAACTCAAGATTCGAATACTTTCAAATCGAGATTCGAAAACTTTCAAATCAAGATTTGAAAAAAATTGAAAAATTTTCAAATTGAGATTTGAAAACTTTCAAGAAGATTCAAAAACTTTCAAGTTCAGATTTGAAAATTTTCAACTCAAAATTTTAAAACTTTCAAACTCAAAACATGTTAAAAGATTAAAAAAAATAATCAGAAAAAAAGTGTGAAAAAAAACGAAAAAATTGGTAAAAAAAGAAAAAAAGGTGGGAGGACGCGCGCACGCATTAGCGATTCTAGGCATTTTTTATTTGAGAAACGACCTCTTTTTAGCTATGAACTACTTCCTCCGTTTCACAACGTAAGTTATTCTATACGTCTAGATTCATTAATAACCATATAAATGTTGGAACTGTTAGGATGGCTTACATCGTGAAATGGAGGGATTACATGTCGATTTTAGAACATAATATTAGAATTAGCATTTTTTAGTTTTTTTTCACTTCTCTTTGGCTTAAGACCTCTAAGAGTAAGGCTTAGTTTGAATATCATGTTGGCTTGAGCTTTTCGGGCTTGTTCACTTTACTACCATTTTCAACCTTACTTTTTTTTTTGCAAAGTTACCAAAAAAGTGGTTATATTTAATTTGTTGCCAAATTTTAGTTTTTACATATGAAATCTTGCCAAAATTTGGTAACCTTGCCAAAATTTTGGCAACCTTACTAAAATTTGGCAATGCCAAAACTTGGTAAGGTTGAAAATAGTAGCAAAGTAAATAAGTCCTTCAATTGCACGTGAAACAAAACATATCATTAGCGTATAATTAATCAAGTATAAAACATTATAGTACTTGAAAAATGAATTTATTTGACTTGTTAAAAAAACTTTTATATAGGATTTTTTTGCAACCAACACATTATTAATAGTCCGGAATGTGTGTTTACTCAAACGATAAAGTAGCTAAAGCCAAAAGTTAAATAGTAGAATGTAGCCTAAGGCTGATTTATTTTGAACAACTCTAAACATTCACTTCCTCGTTGTTCGTTAGCACCTATTGAAAATTATTAAATGGTGCGTTTTGTAAAAAAGTTATATATAAAAGTTTATCTCAAAAATAAAATAAATATATTATTTAGCTTGTAATAATTAATACTAGTTAATTAATCATTCACTAATGATCCATCTCATTTTATAACAGACCGTAAGGGCTTAGTTCGATTTATTTGTTAGGTTTTGTTTTTTTTGTTGCACACAAAATAAGACGTGTTATTAACACATGATTAAATGATTATTAACTATTAAAAAAATAAAATATATTTATTTTATGTTTTAAAAAGAAACTTATATATTGAAACTCTTTGTAAAATACACCGAATAGAATAGAGCGCAGCCTAGGATGGATGTACAAAAGTCTATTCGTAAAATTATCTTTGATTATCTTGGTCACATGTCCTAAGCCTAAGGAGAAGAAAATGTGGTACATGAAGCAAAGCCCAAAAATATACCAAGATCGCATCTCTGATGTGCATTGTTTTCTGAAGGAGATAATAAACATTAAACTTTCTATGAAGGAGTATGGTTTTCCTTTATTTGGTAAGGAATATTAAAGAGCTGTTCACTCAGAAAAATATATGCCAACACATGTAAAATATTAAAGGCATATTCCCAACACATTATCTAGGGTTGGCTAGCCTACACTGTAGTGCTAGCTTGCTGGTAGTATCGAAATTGATCCCAGTGAGTCCATCGTTTTCCTATTTGTGTACTTTACGTTTTCAAGCGCACGCATAGTGTTTAGCTATAACCGGAATTCTCACAACCAAGATAATTTACTCAGACTCCCAAGCCCTGACTGATGAATGCCGCCATTGGAAATTCATTTGGCACAACCGTGCCCCTCCCCGAGTCCAATTCTTTCTCTGGCTCCTCATCAAAGAACGCCTCCCTACTAAGGCTCACAAGAAGCAGATTGTTCAATCCCCGCGATGCGCCCTCTGTGATGCTGCGGATGAAACAACGATGCATCTGTTATTTGGCTGTCAGTTTGCTCAACATTTTTGGGGGTCCATTGATGTCACCCCTGCCGTCGCTTCAGTGC